GCATAGCTGCTGTGTCTGGTATTCCTGCTCTCCTTGGAAAAGCATAACTTCTCCTCAGAGCTTGTGAGGGAAGGAAGTGGCAGTGGATAAGACTTGGAGAGGAGAGATGTCTCCAGAGCATGAGCTCAGGGAATAACAGGTTTAGAGGAAGGCAGACTTGCTGATCAACCTGAGACCTCTCCATTTTCATGGGACCTCAGACCATCTGGCTGACATCCTACTGAATATATGGACTGATGCTTGGCCAAGGACTTGGTCAAGGTCACACAACCAGACAGCTGTTGGCTGGCACTAAGCCCTGTGCCTCATGTTTCACCACAAATGCCCGCTTCTCCTGCTCTTCCATGCACTTGTCTTCCCTTTAGTTTCCTGCAACATGGAGGAGCTGTGTTGGTTGGTTCCTTGGCAGTATTAATATCACTAATAGTTATCATTCATTGGGTGCTTATATCAGGAGCAGGCATCAGAGTTTGCAAACTCAGAAATCTGGAATGGCAGAGCAAGCGAAGTCACTGAGTGAGGCAAGCGAGGTCAGACAAGGTGGCCTGGCGGGTCAGGGTTCTGGCTCAATGGTGGATAGCACCACACTTAGTACCAGGATAGCCTGGCTAGTATTGCCAGAACTACTGTTTCAAAAGAAAGCCAGCTATTTGAATTTTTATGTAGCAGCTCCCAATTTAAAAAATCTTAAAGCTAATTAATGTTTGAGAAAAAAAAATATTCTGTGGGCAAATTAAAATCACACCTGTGGGCCAGTATGCAAACTCTGCTTGGTTGGACACCTGAATCATAAAGGAACTGTATCCCCCTATGCTGTATGGATTAGGCAAGCAAAGCTCTTCAAGAAGATAAATCAGTCCTTCAAGGTTATCGCACCAGGAAGCCACAGAGTTGGGATCTGTCTGAATTCCAATGCTTGCTCCTCTTGGATGGGTAAGAGACCTGTATTCAGGCCACAACTGGCACAATGACAGCATCTCCAGGGAGAGTAAACTGTCAGTCAAACAGAGAACTCAGTATCGAAACAAGGGATCCTTCAAGATGAAAGTGATGTTGTGGACATAAAACTCCCCACTTCCCTCTGCCAGAACTCAACAATGGATATCTCTGTGCCTCTTAATAAAATTAGGTCGCCATATATCATTTCTCCCAATGATGCACTTCTTATAATGATGGGATGTTCACGTTTTGATATTTCTTTTTAAACTAAGAATGTATGTTTAGGGGAGGTGGTCTCTATGTGGAATAAATGGCTTTGAATTACTTGTGTCTCATCATACTTTTTAATGACCATATTGCACAGGTGCACAGAAGTAAATCAGATTCTCTCACTGGACTGTGAGCGCTAGGTGTGAGATAGGTCTGTTTTACTTCCAGCTGTCTCCCCGGCCACTTAGCATTAATGTTTGGGACATAGGTGCTCAGTAAATATCTGTGGATTGAATGAGTAAGATTCAGAAGAATAAATTACTTGTTCACCATACAGAACAAGATTCCCATTTACGTCCACCTGATTTGGAAACTTATGCTATCACTTCTGCAGCATCCTGCCTCTTGGGAAGAATTAAGGGAAAGGTGATTCCACATAGAGGATCATGAGCCCGGGATCTTCTGCCCCTTTGGAGTAAGAAGTTATTGGCAGTGGTGATGGGGGTGAGCACCTACTAGTAAAACCGCCATTGATAATACCTTTTGGAAACCACACAGTATAATCTTGATAGCCCTGGCTCTGGAGGTATTTACAGAGGGTGGCAGCATGAAGCGCAGGCCCTGGATTTTGCAATGGAAGAGGCTAAGTTCCCATCTCAATTCTGCTGTGTGACCTTGAGCTGTGAGTGCCTCTCTGAGCCTCCTCCTGCACCATATGGATAATCAAGCTTCACTTAGAGTATTATCAGGTTGAAAGGAAATCATCAATGAAAGTGGCTGCCCAGTAATTGTGGATTTTTTGGAAGTCTACCAATATGAGAACAGCTTTGTCAGGATCCGCCAGGCTTGGGGCCAAGAGGCCCCATCTAGCAGGACTTTGCAGTTTTCAAGTGGATATTAATAGATACAGAAGGCCCTTATCTCTCTCTTTTTTTAAAAAGATTTATTTGTTTATGCATACAAGAATGAGGGTACAAGCCAGAGGTGTGGGGGGTGAGAGGATTCACCAGAGACAGAGTAGGGGACAGATCAGGCAGATTGACTGAAATACACTGCTGAGGGGAGCAGCAGGCGAGTCAGGAGAGGTCTACTGAGCCATGTGTGTTGCTCCCTGGCCGGAATTTGGACTCGTGCTGCAGAGGCTGCAGTTAGCTTCATAGATTGCGTCTTAACCCCTTGCACTACCAGGGAGGCCCCCTTATCTATCTCTTTTTTTTTAAGATTTATTTATTCATGCATACAAGAACCGGGGTACAGGCCAGATGTGCGGGACAGTGAAAGGATTCACCAGAGAGAAAACGGGGAACAGAACAGGCAGACTGACTGAAATACACTGCTGAGAGGAGCAGTAGGCGAGGCAGGAGAGGTCTGCCGTGCCATGTGGGATTCTCACCGGCTGGCTGGGAATCGAACTCGCGCTGCAGAGGCTGCGGACAGCTTCACAGCGCTGTGCTCAACCGCCTGTGCCACCAGAGGAGGCCCCCTTATCTCTTTCTTATTTTCACATTGGGCATTCTGGTCTTCACTCCTTTCTGCTGCAGCAGGACAAGAAAGGGATTGTGGGAAGATGGGCACCTGCTTCTATCTGGGCAGTATTTGAGTACTTTGGGGAGAGTAGATCTCTGGAATATCCCTGGCGTTGGTCTCCCTGAGTCTCAGTAATAGCCTTTTCATCTGCTATATAAGCTCATGTTCTGGCCTTAGTTTCCTTATTGGGCCAATAGTAGCACTATCGGTCTTCTTTCTCCAGCAACCAGAATAGTGGTTGGCATGTGACAGGTGCTCAATAAATGTTTGTTGAATGACTATCGGGTATGAGAAGAATTTATGCTTTTTTAGAAACTTTGAGAAGATGTAACAAAAGGAAACTCCATCTGGAATGGGAGTGTTGCTGACTTTTCTCACCCTCTGTGAGGGGCTGGCCTGGCTATTTTGTTTGTTTGTTTAAAGATTTATTTATTTATACATACAAGAACCAGGATACAGGCCAGAGTTTTGCGGGGTGAGGGGATTCACCAGAGACAGAGTAGGGGACAGAACAGGCAGATTGACTGATATACACTGCTGAGGGGAGCAGCAGGCGAGTCAGGAGAGGTCTGCTGTGCCATGTGGGTCACCTCCCTGGCCAGGGATCAAACTTGTGCTGTAGTGGCTGAGGTAAGCTTCATAAGTTGCGTCTTAACCCCTTGCGCCACCAGGAAGTCCCCAAGGCCTGGCTATTTTGAATAAGAGCTACCATTTTAGTGGTAGCTTCACTGTCTGGGGAGAAGGAGACAGGCTAACTCCAGAGCTGGGAATCCAGTACAGCCCAGATTCTATCACTGGCTGTCTTCAAAAGGTCCCAACTCTCAATCAGCCTCAATTTTTCTATCATTGACTCTATGGTCCCGTCTAGTGCTGACATATACAGGATTTGATATGAGTAATTTCACAAACTGCTCCTTTCCTAAACCATCTCATAATTTATAAAAGTTTCAGATCCCTTTGTTTGTCATTCTCATGGCAATTCTGGAAAGGGCCAAGGCAATGTTTCCATTTTATAGATAAGAAAACTGAAGGGCCTCCCTGGTGGCGCAGGGGTCAAAGACAGTGCTATCAAGCTATCACCAGCTGTTGCAGGACAAGTTCAACCCCCTGGCCAGGGAGCAACCCACATGGCGCAGCAGGTGTCTCAACTGCTGCTCCCCTCATCAGTGTATTTCAGTAGATCTGCCTGTTCTGCTCCCCACTCTGTCTCTGGTGAATCCTCTAACCCACCTGCACCTGTCACCTGCACCCCAGCTCTTGTATGCGTAAGTAAATAAATATTTTAAAAAATAAAAATAAAATGAGATTTGGGGGCTTCCCTGGTGATGCTGGGGTTAAGACAGCGCTAAGATGCTATCGCCTTTGCCACCTGATTTCTACCCCGGGCCAGGGAACTAACCCACAGGCCCGGGAGCTGACCCACATATGGCACAGCAGACCTCTCTTCTGTCTCCTCGACTGCCCACCTTAGCAATGTCTTTCAGTAGATCTGCCTGTTCTGCTCCCCACTCTGTCTCTGGTGAATCCTCTCCGCCCTCCCCCCACCTCTGGCCTACACCCCAGTTCTCCTATGCATAAATAAATAAATCTCTTAGAAAATAGGATTTGTATAAAAGTTCCAAGCTTTATTGGGCTAGAACTTCTGCTTGGGCTCTGGGTGAAAGGACTGGGGTGCACAAGATAGGAAAGATGACATAGGTGCTGCAAATTGAGGCTGGGAGATGTTATTGGGGCTTTGAAGGCAGGCCTGAGAATTCAAAAAACTGAGAGGCGGTTTCGGAGATTCGGACTGAGGGTGTTGCGGCTACAGGTGGGGTTCGCGTGTGCGTGTGTGTTCTGGGGGTCACGTGGGCCCTGCTGGCGGCGAGAAGAGCACCCTGGATGCTCCGTTCTGAGGAACCTCAGCGAGCTCGGCAGCTGGGGTGTGGCGGGCGGGGTGGTGGGCGGGGCCCGGGCCACGGGCTGGGGGCGGGGAAGGCGACCCGCCGGGCACCGCCCCGACAAAGCCTGCGCGCGCCCGCTTCCACAATTGGCCGCGCCGCCTCGCGCCGCCGCCCCGTCCCTCCCTCGGCCGCCGGCCCGGCGCGCTGCAGCCAATAGGCGGCGTCGCCGCTGCTGCCGTCACATCCAGGACAGCCAATAGCGGCGGCGCTCGGCGGCTCGTGGCTCTTTCGCGGCAAAAAGGATTTGGCGCGTAAAAGTGGCTGGGACTTTGCAGGCTGCGCCGGCCGGGGGCAGAGCGGGATCCGAGGTGGGATCGAGCGCTCGCCGCGGCCCGACGCCATGGGCCCGCGCCGCCGCCGCCGCCTGCCCCCCGGGTCGCGCGGGCCGTGAGCGCCATGGCCGTGGCCGGGGCCCCCGCGGGCGGCCCTTGCGCGCCGGCGCTGGAGGCCCTGCTCGGGGCCGGCGCGCTGCGGCTGCTTGACTCCTCGCAAATCGTCATCATCTCCACGGCGCAGGACGCCAGCGCCCCGCCGGCCCCCGCCGCGCCCGCCGCCGGCCCCCGCGACCCCGACCTGCTGCTCTTCGCTACGCCGCAGGCGCCCCGGCCCACACCCAGCGCGCCGCGCCCGGCGCTCGGTCGCCCGCCGGTACGGACAGCAGGGGCCCCGGGCCGGAGCGCCGGCGGGGCTCCTCGCGCGGACCCCGGCGGGGCGCGGCGGGGCGCGGGTCGAACCCCCAGGCGGCTGGGGTCGGTGGGGGGCTGGGGGGCAGGGCCGACGCGTCCCGCGTCCCGACTGGGCGGTGCCGAGCCTGGGCTGGGCCTCGGGGCCCCGCCCTGGTTGCGGGGTGACCTCGGGCTAATCTGGGTTTGCTTCTGTGCTCTGGGGTTCGGGCTTCCTCGCTGAAGCCGAGATGCTCGAGGGTCAGATTGTGATCGTCATGGCTCGCGTGAATTCGACTAGCGCTTACTGCATCCCAGACCCCTGGCGGCCGCAAAGCCAACTAGAACTCAGCCGTGCTGTGAGCTCTGTTGTCACTGTGCTCGTCTGAACCTAGACAGAGAAGGGAAGTGACTTGCCCCCGGTCACGTGACTCCAAGTGGTGGGACTGGGATTTTAACGGAGGCATTTTGGCTTCAGACCAGAACCTGTGGGTGGGTGGTGGGCATGGCTGTTTGGGGAGGGAAATGGAGGAGGGAGCCCTGGGGCCAATGGTTGAAGAACCATTGGAGAGATGCTGCTTCCTGCCTGGATGCTAACTGCCAGGTGCAGGTCTGGCCCTCAGGCCCTCTGGGGACAGGCCTCCTGGCTAGGAGGCCTTCTCTGCAGGGGCGGGTGTCTGGGCCAGCTGCTGATCCCCTCCCTTGCCTGTCCTTCCATCTGCCACCCTCCACCCTCCCAGGCCCTGGTTGCTATGGAACCTCATTAATCAGGCAGGCCGACCCCTGGGCCTCAGTGGAAGTACTGGGCCAGTTGGGCCTCTCGGAGCTGAGAGGCCCCAGTGTCAGGAAAGCGTGAACATCCCAGGGAGATGCCTTGGTAAAGTGCTTCCCAAGCAGCAAGAGGCTCAAGACCAGTCAGACTGGGGGGCCCAGAAGAGGTGGCTGAATTGCTGGGGGAGAAGGGAGTGGAGACCTGGATGTTGGACCTGTGGGCTGCAGGATAGGGCGTGGAGACCAGTTTGACTGGTACAGCCTGTGGGTGAAGGTGGAGCACAAGAGCGTGGGCAGGGGTTGGCCAGGCTGGAGGGTCTCACAGCAGGGGGCTTGGCGCAGTGGGAGGGGTGAGGCAGGCGCTGGGCAAGGAAGCTGCCCAACCACTGATAGGGGCCTGGGTGGCAGCTGGTCCCTCAGGCATCTCCGCAAGTCTCCCCTACTCCCTTTGGCCTTATGCCCAGTGCTGCCTTCCTTCCGGAATCACTGAGATGCTAATAATAATAACAACATTAGCAGCCACCATTGTTTTGAGACTATTTTGTATGTCAGGCTCTGTGCCAAACACTTTACCCAATTAACTCTGAACCTCAGCAGCCTCCCTCTTTTGCAGGTAGGGAAGCTGAGGCCTAGACATGTTAGCACTTTCCCCTATCATTCAGCTAGTGAGTGGTGGGACCAACCCAAAACTCCTGAGCCATATAGAGCTTGAAGGAAGCCCAGAGTCCTTCCCTCTTAATGAGTGGTGGGGTGTGTCTTCTGGCTTATCTCATCTGTCCCAGTGGCCTGTCCCCCGTGGGTACTAGTTTAGGACCTGTATCCTTTCAACTAAATGACAAGTTCTCAGCAGGCCCTGGGATGTGGGTCCTATCCTATGAGAGCTGAACTTTAGGCTGAAGATAAGTTTCAGGCTCAAAGGGACTGCCAGGGATATAGTGCATCCTTGTTTTACAGTGTGATACTGGCAAGGGGCTTCAGGAAGGGGCCCAGGAAGAAGGTGAGGGATGTAGTTGATAGGAACATGTTAAGTTTCAGGCCCTGGAGGTGAGGCTAGAGAGGGTACATTCTGGTTGTGAGGGTTTGGCTTCTAGACTGGGCTCTAGAGAGGTGGGACAAATGCATATGAATGTGGCTGTGAGCCAGCCTGTTAGGGTTCCACTTTGCAGAGTGCCAGCCTGTGACCTGTCAAGGTGGCTTCTCAAGAAGTGGAGACCACGAGAGTATTTGTCACAGGGTGATTGAGTGAATGTAGGTAAAGCATTTGCTTGGTGGTGCTCAGTACACTGGGAACACTGAGTACATGTTAGCTCTTCTGTCCCTAGGGTGCAGAGGGGAGTCATGAATGTGTATGTAAGCAGGAGTGTGGGTCTCTCAGCCTGTGGAGGTTCTCTTAGCAAACATTTGTTGATGGCCAGGTCCTAGGCTAGACATTGAATGCAGAGATTATTTAAACCCACCCCCACTTCTGGGGACGTCTTGGCTTCCTGGTGAGGCACAAATCTGCAGAAATTTGTCATGAGAGACAGTGGTGGGGAAAGGTTGGGTTTGAGGCAGTTCAGAGGGAAACTGAAAAGAGACAGTCTTTATTGCAGGACAGGGTGATGGATATGCTTCTTGCCCACAGAGATGGCAGGAATGTGTGAAAGGTGGTAGAAAGGGAGGCAGGCAAGGGCAAACTAGAGAGGGGACTAAGCATAGGCTAAGGTTTGGAGGCACAGATTTGTGAAAATACATGTCCCAGCAAAAGTTCATGTGGAGAAGCAATGGCAGATGAGGATATTGAGGCCGAGGGGACAGCTGGACAGAGACTGCTGAATATGAAAGGTGGCTATGGTGTCTGGGAGTTTAGTGCCCCTGGAGGTGATGAGGGCAGTGAGCAGAAATGGGTGAGAGTCCAGCTCAGAAGACTTGTGAATGGGGTTAGGGAGGCTTCATTTTATTTTGGTTAGGTTGTGTTTGAGATAACTGAGACTTCCAGGGTGGTTTTGGTCATCCTCAAGTGTTTGAACTAAATCGGCTTCCCAGGTGGTAACCCAGGCTCTGTCACTTCCTGTCTATATGACTGTGTATCTCTCTGTCCTTGACTAGCTTTGTTTCTAAAATTCGGCCATTACTGTGTTGCCAGCCATAGGATGGGATGAACTAATGTATGCAAAGCATGTGGTCAGCCCCAGCTGCTGCCATGTTCAGTTAGTGAGAAACCAAAGAGGGGAGTGACTTGCCCAAGACACCTCTCTCCTGAATGTTTGGGTGGGTTTTTTTTTTTTTGTTTTTTGCCTATAACTAGGGTGTAAGACAGAGGTGCGGGGGTTGGAGAGGATTCACCAGAGACAGAGTGGGGAGCAGAACAGGAGGATCTACTGAAATACACTGCTGAGGGGAACAGCGGATGAGACAGGAGAGGTCTGGTGGGCCATGTGGATTAGCTCCCCAGCCGGAATTGAACTCAGGTCGTAGCGGTGATAGCTCTGAGACTGAACTGCTAGGCCACTTCTGAATGGTTTTGAACAAATTTATTACCTGATAGTTTCTGTGGTTCAGGAATTTAAGTGGGTGTTTCTTCTTCTTCTTTTTTTTTTTTTAAAGATTTATTTTATTTATTTGTTTGTTTTATTTTTATTTATTTATACAAGCACTGGGTACAGTCAGAAGCGCGGGAGGGTGAGAGAATTCACCAGAGCGGGGAGCAGAGCAGGCAGAGTGACCGGAGTACACTGCTGAGGGGAGCAGCGGGTGGCAGAAGAGGTCTGCGTGCCATGTGGGACCCTCCTCCGGTGGCCGGGGAGCAGCTGGGGATTGAACCGGCGCTGCAGAGGCTGCAGGCAGCATCGCAACCCAGCGCTTAACCGCTGCGCCACCGGGGAGGCCCTAAGTGGGTGCTTCTTGCTCAGGTTCTCTGAGATTGAAGCCAGAATGTTTGCAACCTACAAGTTACCAGAAGGCGTGACTAGGGTTGGAGGATTTGCTTCTAACCTTACCCATATTGGGAGGAGGAGGGTGTTGGATATTGGCTGTTGGGGAGGAGTGATCCAATATAGAGTGCATCTATAACCCAGCCTCAGAGGTCACATGCCATCACTTCCACCAGTTACCACATTGGGGCCATATTTAAGGAATGGAAAGTTGGGCTCTAATTTTTGAAAGGAGTATCAACAACTTGTGGATATATTTTACAACTACCACAGGCCCCTGAGGATGTAGCTGTGGGGCTGGGACTTGAACTCATGTTTCTTTTGCCTTTCAGTTAAGTGTTCTCTGTGACAGGATATGTCCCCTAGGATCTTCTCACAAACTTAGTGATCCTGATAGAGAAACTGAGGCAGGTAGTGGCCCAGGAGCACCAAACCCTTGGACAGGTCTCGTATGACCTCACTCTCCTGGTTACTGGGCATCCTCCCATTATCTTTGTCCCAGGTGAAGCGGAGGCTGGACCTGGAAACTGACCATCAGTACCTCGCCGAGAACGGTGGGCCAACCCGGGGACGAGGCCGCCACCCAGGAAAAGGTATCCACAGAGCTTGGGCTGGGGCAGGCCCATGACAGGGCCTAGGTTGGCTGTGTGGACAGATAAATATGTTTGCTAACTAAATTGATGTGTCAGATCTGGGCCTGAGCCACGTCTCTGGGGACCCTGGAGGATTGTTGGAGTGGCTGCCAGGCATGACATCTCCAGATTCTGGGGGTGGGGAGTGCCCCATCTGGAAGCATGCTGTGGTTGGCAGACCTCAGCCACAGGGTCTCCCTGCTTGTCCTTGCCAATTGGGAAGAAGCCGTATGTCCACCCCACCTCCATCTACCTGCCCTATACTGACAGCAAGGTGGGCCTGGCGGGGGGTGATGGTGCTGAGGGAACCTGCCTCGCCTGGCCTCCTCTCCCCCAGGTGTGAAATCCCCAGGGGAGAAGTCACGCTATGAGACATCACTGAATCTAACCACCAAACGCTTCCTGGAGCTGCTGAGCCGCTCAGCTGATGGTGTTGTCGACCTGAACTGGGCAGCTGAGGTGCTGAAGGTGCAGAAACGCCGCATCTACGATATCACCAATGTCCTTGAAGGCATCCATCTCATCACCAAGAAGTCCAAGAACCACATCCAATGGCTGTAGGTACTAGCCAAGCAGGACCCGGGCAGACATTTCTGCCCATACCAGCCTGGAGCTGACAGTGATACGGTAGTTGCCTGCAGCCACAGCTTATAGTTGGGGAAACTGAGGCCTAGAGAGGACAGGTTGGCTTCCCTCAGTGGTATATGCAGAAAAGTACACAAATCTGACATAACCAGCTCAACACAGCTTTATGTATTTCTTCACCTGGATATCCACCATCTGGATCAAGATAGGGAATATTTCCAGCATCGAAGAAAGTTTCCTTGTGCCTCTTCCCAGTCATAGCCCGCCCCTCACACGTCCAAGTAACTACTATTCTGGCTTCTGTTGTTATTAATGATATGCCTAGGGTGGTTGTTTTACTCTTGTTAATGCTTGTTTTTTTTCCCCCTTGTCACCTCCTCTGTTTGATAAATGTTTTTAATTTTTGGTAGAGGATCCCTTTCTGCATCTCCCCCACCCCTGTAACATGTCTTAGAGATACTTTCATGTCTGTACATCTAAGTCATGCCTGCCCCTTTTTTTTTTTTTTACAACTGTGTAGTATCCATGGTATGTCTGTGCCATCATGTACTTCTGCAGCCCCTGCTGAGGGATATGTGGCGTTTACAGTCATTCAGATGTGACTTTAACCCCCTGCCAGTGTGCCAGCTTCAGCGCTTTGCTGTCTCCCAGTTGAGGAGTAGAAAGGGGAAGGGCTCCTCTGGGTCTCATAGAAGAGAGGCAGAAGCAGGCGGGGTGCTGAGGGTCACCTCTCCTGGGTCAAGAACTGCTAACTCTCTCTGCTGCCTCCCTACAGAGGCAACCATGCAGCAGTGGGGATCAGTGGGCGGCTTGAAGAATTAACTCAGGACCTCCAGCAACTGCAGGAGAATGAACGACAGCTGGACCATCTGATCCACGTCTGTACCACGCAGCTACGGCTGCTTTCAGAAGATCCCGAAAGCCAGCGATATCCTTGGATTGGCCAGACACAGCTGTAGAGAGCAGACCTGGGGTATAGTGAAGCCCCCACCACGTGGGACTAGAGAGGTGACCCTGGGCTTTGGATGCAGATCCTGGCTCAGCACTCGTGTGTGACGTTGGACAAATTACTTAACCTCTCTGGGCCTCAGCTTCATCAGTGAAAGGAGGAGAATCATTCTCAATTCCATAGATTAAAACAAGCTAGTGAGCTAGTACCATCAGTCACAAACATTCTTATTTAGTGCAGTCATTCATACATGGTTGTAATTTCAGTGTTACAGATAATTTTTATTTGTCTTTCACATAAATATTTCTTTTAAAATACCCCGTATTAGTGAATACCCAAATTATTTTTAAAAATTCTGGATGTAATCACTAATTGACAGCAAGATCATAGGTAAAAATTAATTTCTTCTATTTCTAAGTAAATTCACTTTTTATTTAGGTTGAAATAAACTATAGAAAATTGATTTTCTTCACCAAAAATAACAATAAAATAAACTCTCAGCACTAGTCCTGGAGTTGTGTTGAGCAATGTACATGAATTTATTGTGGGCAGCCATTATTACCTTGGGATTGGATAGGTAGAATGGTCTTATTGTACAGATGTGGAAACTGAGGTTCAAACACCAGCTGTGTGCCAGGTAGGGGCGGGGAAAGGATAGGTGTGACTAGGCAGGTATGGGCTTGCCTTATGAATTGTCTGAGAGGGTAGTACCCAGAGGTTCAAGATCATGTCCTTGACTCCACCAACTCTGGCCTATGTGACCTGCCAGGACCTTCGTAGTATTGCAGATCCTTCAGAGCAGATGGTCATGGTGATCAAGGCCCCTCCCGAGACCCAGCTCCAAGCCACAGACTCCTCTGAGGTGAGACTTAGTACTCTAAGCCTGACCAGGATTGGCAGGGCAGGGCTGGTGCTCAGCTGAGCCTCATTTACCCTGCCTGCTGCCTCCACCCAGAACTTTCAGATCTCCCTTAAGAGTGATCAAGGCCCCATCGACGTATTCCTGTGCCCTGAGGAGAATGTAGGTGGGATCAGCCCTGGAAAGACTCCATCACCCCAGGGGACAGCTGCTGGGGAGGAGGACAGGCCAGCTGACCCTGCGACCACGGTGCCGCCACCACCATCTCCCTCCTCTTCTCCTCCCCCGGATCCCAGTCAGTCCCTACTTAGCCTGGAACAAGGTAGGTAAAGTGTAGGTGCTTGAGGTGGGACAGGTCCCTCTCCCTGGTGGGTGGGCAGGTATGACAGCAGCCTTTGTCTTTCCTGCTGGGGCATCCCCAGTTAGCGATGCTTCCCTGTCTTCCAGAGCCTCTGCTGTCACGGATGGGAGGCCTGAGGGCCCCTGTGGATGAGGACCGCCTGTCCCCGCTGGTGGCCACCGACTCGCTCCTGGAGCATGTGCGGGAAGACTTCTCCAACCTCCTCCCTGAGGAGTTCATCAGCCTGTCCCCGCCCCATGAGGCTCTTGACTACCACTTTGGCCTTGAGGAGGGCGAGGGCATCAGAGACCTCTTCGACTGTGACTTTGGGGACCTCACTCCCCTGGATTTCTGACAGGGCTTAGGGGGAACAGGGCTTTCTGAGATGTCCATCCCATCTCTGCAACCCTGGAACCCCCTGCCCCTGGTTGTCTTCCCAGCCTGATTGGAAACGTTTTATTTATACCCCTTCCCCTTATCTCCAGATTCTTCTAGCTCTGGGGTCTGGCTATGGGCAGGAGACTGAGCAAGCCAGGAAGGGGAGGATTCTGTTTATGGTGTGTATGTGCATGCGCCCACCACCCAGTGTGTATGCAAGGGTGAGTGGCGTGTGAGCATGTATGTGTGCATGTCCCGGGGAATGAAGGTGAACACAACTGCGTGTGCACTGAAAACACGCCCCAGTGTGTCCACGTGTGTGTGCATGAGTCCATGTGTGCGCGTGGTGGGGGCTCTAACTGCACTTTTGGTCTCCTTGCTCCAGGGGCCCCAGGAGGCCTAGGCTGGCCACCCGCCCCCAGAATCCTGTGCGCTGACCAGGCCAGGTGGCAAGGCCTTGGCCTGCTTCTTTGCAGGACAGTGAGAGCACTTCTGTCGTCTTAAAGGTTTTTCTGATTGAAGCTTTAATGGAGCGTTATTTATTTATCAAGGCCTCTTTGGCAAGCCTGGGGCACCAGCAACTGATAGGAGGGATGTGGGGTAGATTTCCCAACTCCTTATACCCCTGAGTGAGGGCAGTGGCCCACAAAGCTGTTTTCTTGCCCTACTCTGAAGGAACTGATGCCTGAACGGTTTATTTATTGAGAAAGTGAGGGAAGGAAACAGATCAACAGCCATGGGTGGGTGGAGTGGGTGGGTAGGCCCTCCCCAGGGACCCCAGCAGCTCCCTAGGATGGACATGAGATGAAAAAGGTGTGTGGGGGAATGTCACTGATAGTGGGGCAGGAGGGGTGGATGAAGGGCCTCCCTGCCGCCCAGATCACAGGAGCCCCTCCTGTGGCATTTGACATATCACCCTCCACCCCACTTCTTGCTGTGCCCCACTTTCCAATCTGCACTTTGATTTGTCTTCCTAACAGCTCTGTTTTCTTCTGCTTTGGTTTTAATAAATATTTTGATGGTGTTTGGGTCAGGTTTTGAGTTGTATAACTGCCAGCAAATCTGGGGGTGGGAAAAGCCAAGGTTGATGGGGTTATGCCCACTCTCTATTTCCCTTTTCTTTGTCCCCTCTTAGTTTAATTTTATTGGAAGCTTACAGCCCCAGGAAAACCCCCTTCACCATTTTTGTCCTAATTAAACATTCATTCAATAAATAATTTTATTATGTAAAGTCAGAAATACTCAGAAGTATGGGAAGCAGTAAGTGAACTCCCTGTGTTTCCCCAGCCCAAGAGACCACTCCGATTAGTTTGCTGTGTTCTTTCCAGATGTTTCTGGGCCTTTGTAAACATACAACAAATAATTACAACAGACTTACTCTGTGTCAGGTACTTTTGGTTCTGGGGATAATGTGTTTCCTCCATGAGGTTCTCAGGGTCTGGTGGAAGAGACACAAATGAGAACATCGGAAAGCTTGGAAGAGGTGGTACTTGAGCCAAGCTATATGCTAAGTAGGAGTTAACTGAAGATGAAACAGAACATCCATGGGGCAGAATAGGCAAAGGCCTGAGACGGGAGGGAGCAGGACCTGCTGTGACTGGATCTAAAGTGAGGGCCAGAATGCTGGGGCTGGGGAAGATGGTGAGTCTTAGGCTTTATTCAGGGTACAAGAACTTGTGAGTCTGACGCAGGACTCACATTGGGGTTAATGTTTTAAAAGCTCATCTAGTTGCTGTGGGAGGATGGATTGAAGAGGGGGTGAGAATGGAGGGAGAGGGGTAAAAAATGGCTTTGATGAACTTAAAAATGGAGGGGAGGTGGGGTGAGTAGCTGGGGGGGGTCCACACAAGTCTGTTTAAGACACTCTAAGGTGGACTGTCTGATCCAGCCTCTGTTTTGTTTTTTTTTTTTAAGATTTATTTATGCATACAAGAGCTGGGGTACAGGCCAGAGGTGTGGGGGGGTGAGAGGATTCACCAGCGACAGAGTGGGGGACAGAACAGGCAGATTGACCTAAGTACACTGCTGTGGGGAGCAGCCAGGAGTCAGGAGAGGTCTGCCTCGCCCTGTGGCAGCTCCCTGGCTGGGGATGTGCTGCAGAGGCTGTGGATAGCTTCATAGTGCTGAGACTTAACCCCTTGCGCCACCAGGGAGGCCCCCTCCCCTATTTTAAGCCCTTTGGATTCAATACACTCTCACAACAATCCTGTCTAAGCTATGACTTACCTTGTGGACCCTCAGAGAGGTGAAGTTACTTTTGGGTCTTATCCACAAGGCGTCACTCTACTGTGCTGCTGCTGCTTGCTTTGTGGACCCCATAATGGGGTGGGACCAGCCCCCGGGGGACATGTGCAGCCACCACCTCCCTTCCTGGCCGTGTAATACTCCCAAGCTGTGATCCACTCGGCCAATCCCCTTTGGAAATTGCCCCTTGGGTAACTCCTTAGAACGCAGCGGCTGCCCGTCCGGGAGCATCCCGTGGCAAAGCCGCGGAGGTGAACTATGTTGGGACTCCGCGTTGCACGCCTCTTGCCTAACCCGAAGGCCCGGCGCTTTGCACTTCTTTTTCGGACGGGAAGACCCAGGCCCTCCGGAGGGGTAGGCTGAGGGCAAAGGTCCGGGCTGGAGCCGGGACCCCGCACCGGGAGGGCCTCCCAGGTCAGTCCGGGCGGTGGGCGGAGCTGCGGGGGCGGGGCCCGCGGTCCGCGCCGGCGCCAATGGGCGGGCGCCCCTCGCAGTCCCCCTCCCAGCCGCCCTCCCGGTCCCCTCGGACCTGCCGCGGAGCCCGGGGACCGCAGCCCCGGAGCCGGCAGCCGAGCTGGTGGCGGCGCCATGGCGTGCGCTGGGCTGCTCACCGTGTGCCTGCTCCGGCCGCCGGCGCCCGAGCCCCCGCGGCCCCCAGCGCCCGCGCCCTCCGCGCCCGCCGGACACGCGCTCCTCCAAGACGTGAGTGGGGCGCGGGCGGGGGGCGCCGGCCCTCCGGCTCCCAGGGGTGGTCTGTCTGTCAGGGTGTCGCTGCAGGTCTGTCTTGCCTCGTCCTGTGTCATGCAGGGCTGCTGTCTCTCACTGCCTGTCCTCTGTCCCTTCACCCCCCCTTTTCTCTCTCTGTTTTCCCCTCTCTCTGTTTGTTAATGTCTCTCCCCACGTATCCGGGGCCCTGCCTTGTGTGTCTGGATGTCTCATTACCTGCCTGTGTGTCTGTCTGTCTCCTTACCTCTCTGGCCATGCCGTCTGTTTCCCTGTGTCTCCCTTATCTTTAGCTCCCTGTCTTTGTGTCCCTCTTTCTGGCTCTTTTTCTCTCCTGCCTCTGGTTCTGTGTCACTACTCCGCTTGCCCCCCAACTCCAACTCCGCACCATCTATGTGTCTGGTGGGGTGGGGGTTCTCAACACTTGATCACAGGAGCAGTTCCCCAGGCCCTCTGGAAGCCCCATGTGGGGCTGACCTGGGCAGGAGAGCCTGGAAGCACAAGCAGCCCCCTAACCTCTGACCCACTGCTAACCTGGAGGCCGAGACCTGATCTGGAGGCCGTGAGCCCCCAAGTTGGTCAGGGCTGCTAACAGTTATTCTCTGTGGTCGGGGCACCCCTCCCAGGGCGGCAGGCAACCCTGAAGCCTCACGGGCACTAGTATGGACCAGGCTGCCTGGGTCTCAGTCACTGCCCTATGCCCCTTCCCTATCTTCTACCCCAGTGCTCAGCCCCATTCTGGCCCTTTCATGCCCCCACCCCCCGCAGTCCCTGCCACTGGCAAAGGCTATATTTCTACCCCCTCCCCAATGCCCTAGTGACTCAGCACCTTGACCACAGCTCTCCTGGCTGGAAGGGAGCTGACCCTCTGCTTCCTAAGGCCTGAAGGGTTAGGGATATATCAAGATCACAAAGGGAGGGGAGGGCTTACTTAGGATGTGGCCCCAGGTGTCCTCATTCCCAGCATAGCTTCCCTGCTCCTAGCTCCCCGGGATCTCCATCAGACAGCCAGGCCAGACAGCTGTGTGACCCTGAGACTGAGGCCGACTTCTCTGAGTCAGACTTCTAACTCAGGGTTGGATTCATTCCTGAGCTCCACTGACCCTGAGAAAATGCCCAACAAGCAGTGGCATTCAGAATGTGGGATGATGCTCTCTGTCCAGATGTTGGCCGATCTGCTTGCCAGACCTGCTGGTCTCCCATTTACTGGGCATAGCCTGTGAGTCTTAGGTCCCTGGTAGAGGCAGGGGCGCTGTCTTTGACACTGCTCTCCTCTCTCTGCCTCTGTTGCCCTTCTTGTCTGCTTTTCCGTAAATATAATCTGCCTGATCTGTCTGTTTACCCTTGTTTTCTGCAGCCTCCCTCCCCCCCTTACACACGTATGCACTTACATACACACGAACACACACACATACAGAGGAACCGGCCTGAGGTCCTTACACTAAGTTGTTCTTATAAGAAGTCCCAGCCCTGGCAGTGTTAACCCCAGGCTGCTCCCCCATGTACTAGTGGGAAAACTGAGGCTCTGGCAAAGAAGAGACTAGCCACTGCCAGCATGTCAGGGTCTTCGGTAGCACAATTGGGAAACAGTGCAGAGTGGGGGTTCAGGTCTGGGATGGGTGCCCAGCTTCCTCAGGCCGCATCTTGGCCCTTCTCCCCACCTTACTCACATTGGGCCTGTGCCAAGGACTGATGCATCATCAGACAACTCAGGAGGGACGGGTATGGGAGATGGAGGTGCAGGGAACTGATCTGGAATACCCCCCACCAGACCAGGCCCCACAGGAGAACTGAGCAAGCGGTGGGACCTGCTGTGTGCTCTTCCTGTGCCTGCCCCCCCCCCGCCCCCACCGTTGGAAAAACTCCTGCAGAGCAGAAATGGGCAGGGGATTGGGAGCAGACTGGGTGGGAGGAAAGGCAGGCAGGAGGCAGGCAGGCCAGCTGGGGCTCTATTGAAATGAGCGGGGGGCCTCTTTCCTTGGGGTCTCACTCACGGCTTCTCTCCATGCCCCTTTGTCCTCTAGGTTTTCCGTAGAGCAGACAAGAATGGTGAGTGTGGCTTCCCTTGGGTCCTACAGTGTGGGGTGGGGTGGGGATAGAGAGGGGGACATCTTGAGGAGGGTTGAGGGCTTAGGCACACATTCTAGAGTAAGAGAAATCTTGGGGAGCCCTGAATCAGGAGAGTCAATCAGGGCATCCTTTCAGGAGGAAGTGTTTTGAGCCAAGGTTGGCAGGATGGAGAGTAGAGGGAATGTGGTTTCGCCAGAGACTTTCCCCAGTGCCCTGGCCATGTGGTGGGTATCTTCCATATGTGATCTTGTGTTGTCCTCACAACCCCTGCTCAGTGGGAAATCTTCACCCGCTTCACAGACAAAGGAACAGTGCCCGGGAGAGGCAAAGCAGGTTGCCCGGGGAAAGCTGAGGCAGGATAAAGCTGTGTCTGGTATTCAGCGACTCAGCTCCTCCTGCCGTGGGAGGTAGGCAGTCTTAGATACTGGTCTGGAAAACCTTGAAAACCAAAGCAGGAGCCCGTAGGGGACCCCACAAGCAGGGTGCTGCCCATAGCTGACTCAGAGCTGTGCTGATTGGCCAGCTGAGGGTCTGAGCTGAGGCACTTAGCTGTGGCCTCACTTCCATCGGGGTCTCCAGACTTGTGTTTCCATCTCCTTGAGATGGGGGGGGGGGTGTCCTCACACCTTTTCTTTTTCCTTTGGTTTCTTCAAATTGGTGGAAACCGCGTGTCCCTTCTCCCCACGCCTCTTGACCAGAATACATGTTTGGGGAGACTCAGATTTCCTCTACCTGTGCTGCCCCCACCCCATCTCTTCGAGACCTCACGGGCCAAATCCCTTTGTCTTTGGCTGCCCCACTCAAGGGCCCCCAGCTTCCGCTATGTGCCCCCTCATGGGGAGGTCATTCCTTCTCGAGCCGGCCTGCTGCTTCTTAAACAGACTCCAGCTCCTAGCAAGACCTCATCTGCCTCTCTGGGTGCTCTGTGAAGGGCCAGGTCCAGAGCACGGAGGCTTCCTCCTCCCTGGGCCCAGAATGGCCAGCATGTGGGGCAGATACTTGGTGTCCAAGTCCTCCAAATGGCGTCTAAGTCCCAGGGGCTGTTCATTTGTTTCTTCATTTAGCAAACACTGAGTCTTACCTAGGGCTACATGTGTACTGTTTTGTCCCTTGGGTGCCTGAAAAGTGGGCCAGTTCCCTTAAGGGGGTATGCCTGGGGGGCCCTAATCCTTTGGTCCCTGCTGCCAGTCCTCCCACCAGGTTCAGAATCCCATTCCACCTGGCTGGGTGGCTGTGAGATCCTGCAAAGCCTTCTGGGGACTTGAACTTGGTGGCAAGGGTATAGCCAGGGGTCCAGGATACTGACTCCTCCCCCTACCCCCGCCCAGATGATGGTAAGCTCTCATTTGAGGAATTCCAGAATTACTTTGCTGATGGGGTTCTCAGCCCAGGGGAGCTGCAGGAGCTGTTCAGTGGCATTGATGGGCATCCCACTGAGTGAGTATGATGGGGCGGGGGGAGGGGGGTGGATGAGCTGTGGGTCAATGTGAGGCCAGGTTGTCCCAATCCCACTGTGTCTCCTGCTGCCTTGGTTCCTTATGGAGGAGGGTGTGGGGAGCAGGGAGAGGGAGCCAGGGCTCAGTGCCAACTTTATCCGCCCACCCTCCCCCTTCCTGGCTCATTTTGCCCATCACACTGCTTCCAGCTGGGACCCCAAAATAGCCGGGCCTGAGTCACCACCCGTGGTTCAGCCCACAGGTCTCCCCCACCCCCCATTCCTGTCTCCTGCAGGGACCAGAGGATGCCTGGGGACAGCTGGGCTCTGTCTGCTTCCACCATGGTTGTGGGTGCATGAATACACACTTCGCCACGTGTCTTTCCATGTCCACGAGTTTGCATGCTTTGTTCCACATGCTCCCCTACATGGGTACACATGCGTACACGGCAGTCCCACCTTCTTACTCCCCGCTCCCCCCCCCCATATCTCCTTAGAATAAATTTCAGCCTCTGGGTAGACATTCAGAGGCTCCCACGCCCTCCCCTATCTGCACCCTTTGTCTGCATGCTATCATCTACCACTCTGACCTGACACCCCAAATTCATCATCCTTCAAGGCATAACTTAGCCCCTTCCCCAGGAAACCCTCTCGTACTACCTAGTAATGATACCCCACTCCTTCTCTGGACTTCCCCAGACCTGGCTTCCCCAGAACTGGCTTCCCCTTCCCAACTCTGGCCACTCCTCTCTGGCCTCTGTCCGCATTTGTCTCCCTGGGTCTGAAACCCCCTTGGATGCTGAGAGTGGCTCTGAGTTTTTGCCTTCAGAGAGTGTTTGGTAGGCAGTAGTACCCTTGCTCCCTACCTCTGTCCACTGAGCAACTTACCCTGGGGCGGAGGCAGAAATCTCCTAGTCTGGTTGAGGGGGGAGGTGGGGAACATTGCCTTTGGAACCTTAGTTCACCAGGCCGGAGTCTAAGGGTCTGAATGGCTCCTTTCTCTCTGTAGCAATTTGGAAACTGAGAAACTATGTGGTGAGTAGGCCCAGGGGAGCGCTATCTCCGGGACCCCTGGGTGTGAGGGGCTGTGACTGGTCTCCTGTTGGAACAGGCTGAGGTGGGCTCAGGAGTTGAGACCTGGTTGACTGCTGAGGAATTCCAGGTTGGGTAGAAGGGTGGGGGGCCTTGAGAAACCCTTGAGCCCCCCTCTGCTGCAGACTACTTCTCAGAACACCTGGGTGTCTACCGGCCTGTGCTGGCTGCACTGGAGTCGCTGAACCATGCGGTGCTCACTGCCATGGATACCACTAAGCTGGTGAGTGGAGGGGCCGATGGTGGAGGGGCCGATGGTGGAGGGGCCAATGGTGGAGGGCTGGAACGGAGGGCAGAGGGTGTCTGCTGTGCTGTGAGAGCCTCCACCATCTGGCTCAGGGCTTTGGTGTTAGATACCTGGGTTCAGATCTTGACTTTCCCACTTTCTGGTTAACTCTTTGGGCCTCAGTTTCCTACTCTGTAATCTGGAGATAATAGTAGAGCCTATCTCCTTACATTTGTTGTGACAATTAAATGAGAATGAAGGCAGGGATTTTTGTCTGTCTTGGTCTCTATTCTCAGCATCTAGAACTGTGCCTGGCACACAGTAGATTCTTAATGCCTGGAGCTGATACTGCTACTGTTTTTATTATTGACCAGACCTGTTGTGGGGTATCAAAGTCCAGAACCCAGCAGCAGTGGCCTGGGGATGGGTTGTGCTCACATCCACAGGCCTGTGCTTCTGTGTGCTGGTGTGTGGAGCCTGTTGGGGTAGGGCCTGGCCTGAGGACATGCGTGAGTAGGCAGGCAGGCACGCGTGCACCCTTGTGTTTGTGTGCATGTGTGGAGGGACACGTGTGCACATAAGCATAAGCAGTGCTCACAGCCAGGGCTCCAGTTGATGGGGTGGTTAGCTCAAAAAAACCCGCAAGCTGCCCTGCCCATTGTGTGCTCCTTTAAGAATTGTCTCCACCTCTCTTGTTCCCAACTTTTGATAAGGGGAAGCAGCGTGATTGTTCCTGACCCACTTTTTACGTAAGGGGAGAAACTAAGGCCCTCATCAAGTTAATAGTCAACTGAGCAGATGGGGATAGGGAGTTTCCCTTCTGGTTGCTTTCACATGGGATTTAGTAGCTGTTCAAAGGGTCGCCCCTTAGGGCTTGGCATGGGTTGGATATCCAAATGGTACATGATGAGGGGTTGGCGTGTTGTGAGGATTTCTGTATCTATAACTTGGATACAAGTGGGGGAAAACACTTTCCTTGTTGCCATGGAAACAGGGCCCTCTGGGTGGACAGCTGGACTGTCCTTCTCTGAATGGGCACTGGTGGAGGGGGGTTTCAAGCTGCAAGTCAAATTCAGGGCCCCGGGGATTCACTCCCTTACCCCGCCACCAATGCCCCTGGCTGAGAAAGGGGTAGGGGGACTCATCACCACATGACTCTGCCAGTTCCAGTCACCTGAGACTTTTATCTGGCACTTGATGCCTCAGATAACCGCTGCCCAGCCAGCTGAACTTCTTCTGACCTCCTCTGGCACCGTCCCCTCCAGTGCAGCAGGACTCAGTTGAACACTTCATGCACCAGCCTGGAGCCACACTCCTGGTACATGGCCCGGGTCATCCAGTGGCACTGAAAGGAGCGCAAGGAGGCCATCATGGAGCCGCCTGTCCACACTGCTGTGCCACGCCCAGGCGTGGCCACCACGTGTGGCCGCAGTGCCCCGTAGCCATGCCTCTGGCACTGGGCATTCAGCTCTATCTCCAGGCGCTCGGTGAAGCCAGGGAAAAGCGTGGAGCCCCCGGCCAGCACCACTGTGTCGGCCAGCCGTGTCCGCAGCGTTGCAGGGATCTTCTGCAGTGCCTGGAAGGCCAGCGTGGGCAGCCCGGGCTCAGCCTGGCCGAGCAGGCGGGGCTGGAAGATGGGTTCCGGGCAGCGGAAGCGCTCGCTACCGAGGTGCACGGAACACCCATTGTCTAAGCAGAAGCTGGCGGGATGGTGGCGGGCAGGGTTACGGAGGTCTCCCTCGAAGTCCAGTGACACGTAACAGATGCGCTTCTTGAGCTGGGTGATGGCCTTGCGGGGCAGGGTCTGCAGCTGCAGGTGGGGGCACGCTGCTGCCAGCAGGGCCCTCAGGTAACGCGACAGGGCGCTGCCTGCCACGTTCAGCCGGCTGGTGGCCGCGTGCCACGAGTGGCCTGCATAGATGGGCGTGGCGTGGCACACGCCCGCGCCCGCCTCCACCGCCAGCCCGCTGACGGCGCCGGTGGAGCAGAGCGCCAGCAGGGCGGTGCTGGCCATGTGGCAGGCGGGCACGGCCAGCGCCTCGAACAGCAGCTCGGCCGTCCTCTCGCGGCCCGCGGGCGGCGCCGACGGCGAGGTGCTCACCAGCACCGGCCACTGCTCCGGGCATATCCGCAGGCCCCCCACCAGCAGGCGCTCCCACAGGCCCTCCAGCGCCTCCCAGTCCACCACCACGCCGTGCTTGATGGGGTGCGCCCGCGCCACGCCGCGCGCCAGCTCGCAGCCCGGCCCGCCGGGTGGCACGGGCCGGTCCCCGCTGGGCACCAGGCTGGAGCTCTTCAGCTCCAGCCGCGGCTGGGCCTCGCCGGCGAAGCCCGCTTTGGTGAAGCCCGAACCCTGGTCCACCACCACCGCGATGCGCCCCAGTGAGGGCGGCCGAACCGCCCGGCGGCTCCGCTTGGCCGACGCCACCTTCCGGCTGGGCCCCAACTTCCGGCCGAGACTCCGCCGCCGCCTGAGGTCGCGCTGCTGCTTTCAGCTCCGGGCGCCGGCCGGGCCTGGTTCCCGGGGATCGTTAACGAGCGCCCGCAATTCTTGACTCAGCCCCCTGGTCCGGACCCGGGAGAACGGCTTTTCTCAGTCTTTGACACCGCCCCAGGCTCGAGGCCCCGCCTCTGGCTCCGTGGTCGGGCCGGGCCCCGCTGGTTGCCCCGTTCCGCCTCCGGGGCTTCCAGACTCGAAGCCCCCCACCCCTCACGTCCCCTTCCTGAGGTGCGGCTCCGACTCCTCAGCCCTGGTCTCGGCGGGTGGTGAGGACGGTGGGCTAAGTTCCTTGGGGTACTGGGAAGCAACGAGCTGCAGGGCCCCGGGAGTGAAGAGACCTTGTGGCAAGGTCGTCTGTGGGGGTGGGAGGGGGTGGTCGGAGAGAGGAAAGAACTTGGGCTCATTGTGACCTCAAGTCTAAGAACCTACTGTGATTCCGCAGCCCTCTCTGCGCCAAGACGCCCTGGACCCATCCTCTCTCCCAGGACAGGGCCAAAGGCTGAGACTGGGCATCCGGGGGCACCCAGCACTACCAATCTGACTTCTTCCCAAAGCACTGGGGATTATCTGACACACTCTGGCCAGCTGCGCAGCTGCGCGGCCCCTCCCCTCTCAGTGGTGGAGAGAAAGCTGCAGTCACTGATCTACAGCCACCCTGTGACCTGTGCCTGCCCAGCCCGGGATGCCGCGGCCTACATAGGGGCCTTAGTTCAGGGGCTCTATGCATGTACTCAGGTGGGCTGAGTTTGTGACTCGGTCCTGCAGCTGACGCACAGTGCACCCCTGTGCAAGTCCAAATCTCTCTGAGGACAGGTTCTTCCTTCACCAAGGGGTAGTAATCCTCACACAGGAAAAGGGCCACTTCTTGTCTCTGCAGTGTCTCATTCTCTTTAGGATCCTTTTGGTTGCAAGAGGAAGATCCAGTGAGCTTCAAGTTCAAGTAGGGATTTTATTACCATGTAGAGAGAATGCTGATTGTGTTGACACTGAGAAAGTGCATCTTCAGCCTTAGTTGGACTGTCACCTTTGCTGAATCTGCCCCTTCCGGGGACATTTTGAGGTGGTCACCAGTGGAAGGCAGGCTGCAGGTTTGGAGAGCTGGGGTGGTGCCAGGGCTTGGGCCCTGGGAGAGTGAAAAGCAGCAGCAGGGTTCTGTCCACAGAAAGTGTGTGGGGCCTCTCATGATGAGTTAAGGATGTGAGCTTTGTACTGGAGACCACTAGTGGCAATATGGTCACTGCAGGAGGGAAGGTGGGAGAGGCCCTGGAGAGGAAGGCAGGCTGGAGTGCTGGGCCTGCACTACCCTCCCTATGATGGGTTTGTGTGTTTCCCTGTGAGCACCAGAGAACCAGTGTGAGCGCATGAGCAGGGGGAAGACAGGCCAGTGCTTTGGAAGAAGCCTTAGGCTGCAACATGGAGAAGGGGATGGGACAGGGTAGGTTGGGAGGTGAGTGACTCAGTACCTTGGGCATTACCAAGAGTGGGGCAGGAGTGAGGGGTCAGAGGCCCAGGGACCCCTGCCTCTACCTGGGTGGCTCTCACAGGCAGAATGAGTTTGAGGCCCTACCCCTGCTTATCCTTACTGTTCTTCCAGAATGGTCGCTGTTTGTCTGAGGCACCACCCTCCCCAACTCTTAAGGACGATTTGTGAATCCTGGCCACCTGGGAAATGCCAGGCCTCTTCTGGAAGCAGGCCCCTCCTAGAGTGGCTGAGCCTGGATTTGCCCAAACTCACCTCTCCTATGAAGGCCAGGGTGTGCCGTCTCCCCAGTTTCGGGCAGGGTTTCTGACTTTTGGGTAACAAGAAAGAAGGGAAAAAGCCTTGGCTTCAGGCAGCCTTCGGTAGTGCTGTTTATTCCTGTCTCGTGCTGGGTATCAGTTTCCCCCGACTGGCTCTATACCCCCCTCCTGCCCCACCCCTGCAGATGCCTCAGCCAGCGGGTGCCAGGCTTGCTGTGCACTCTTTATAGGGCCGGCCCCGGAACCGGGGGGCTGGATCCGGAGTTCGGAGCTTTGGGCGCGGGGAGCGGAGCCTTCGGCGCGATGCTCCTGGGCGGGGTGGGCGTCGCCGTCGGCCGGGCTCTCGATCAGCCGCGCGCGCCCTTGGGCCCGCCCCCCGCGCAGCGCCCCTCCTCCGGCAGCCGCGCGTCCGGCAGCACCAGCAGGACCAGGATCTTCATCTCGCGCGCGCGCGCGCCTTCGCGCCGTCCCGCGCCGTCGCCGGCTCCTTGCAGCGGGGGCGCCCCCGCGTCCTCTCCCCGCCCTTCGGGCCGCGCGCCCGAGCCGGCCGCCGCCTCGGGTGGGTGCTGCCCCTTGTCCAGCGGGAGAAGCAACACGTCCTTCGTCTGAGGGGTGGGGCGGGGCGGGGCGTGAGAGCACGGGCGTGCCCACCTGCCTCTCGGGGTCCCTCCGCCACCCCTGTTCTATCTCCCAGGAATGTCCTCCCCGTTTCCGGGACACCCGCCCCACTCCCGTGCCACCCCGACCCGTCGCAGGGAGCCCCCCATCCCTCCTCTGGAAACCCTCACCCACCCGAGCTGGCCTCCTGGTACCTCACTCTGCCCACATTTCTGGAGTCTCTGCCAGCGTCCATCCTTGACCCCCGGACGTCACCCACCCCCGCCCTGGTCTAGGACCGCTACCCGCTGGGAGAGGGGGAGGTTTTGAAACTCAGCTCTGGAAAGGGGAAATAAGGCAGTGCTCCCTGCGCACAGCCCCAGTGGCCCCGACTGTGGCTGATATCCCATCTGTCCCCAGTTCCCTCTGGCCCACCCTCCTGGGCTCTCTTCTTCTCCATCTCCCTGTTTCTGGGTTTCCTGTCCTTTCTGGGCTTTTAGGAATCCATCCCAGTCCATGTGGATTCCTGCAGATGGTGAGGTCAAACCATGATGTCACAATGTGGCATCCCTGGGCAGGGTAGAGGCAGAGGGCCCCGAGGGGAAGGGGCTTCTCTAGCTCCTTCATCCTCCAAGGATGACACAGGACTTACTCCCCAAAGGCCTAGACTCAGTGACTCCTGCACCTGCTTGGGTTACCCTGACCCCACCTGCCTTTGGCCCCCTGGCACTCACTCTGGGCTTCTTCCGTTTGAGGTGGCTGAAGAACTGCATTTTCTGTAGGGCCTTGTTCATTTCAGGCAGCCTTTCTTTGTGGGGCTCCTTGGGCAGTTTGGTCCTCTTGTGGGAACTGTTGTTTCCCATGGCAGGGATGGTCACCACTGGGGGCCACAGTCCATGATGTCTCTCTGCCCTGCCCTCTGCCTCCAGGGAGTCCTTCTGCCTTTGCCCTCCCCGGGAAGCCACATTGTGACCTCATGGTTTGACCTCACCATCTGCAGGCTTGAGCACCTCACAGGCAAATCTGTGACTTCTGGCCTTTATTTCTTAGCTGTCACTCTGAGTAAGGATCAGAAATCAGGCAACGTTTATAAGGTGGTTATTGGTGATAGCAAGGAATTTCTGTGGCCTTGTTTGAATTCTGGCTCTAACACGTAACTATCTGTGTGACCTTGACCAAGGTAATCGACTGCTGTAGGCCTCAGTCTTCTCATCTGCAAAACGAGGTCAATTATGGCTCTCCCCTCTGTACTGCCCCCCAGTTCACAAGCCTGGCCCAGAGGGCCCCATGATGGTTGAGTTCTGAAGAGTAAACAGTTTTGCTGCAGCCTGGCACAAGAGTGGGTACTTGTGTCAGCTGGTTTCTATTGCTTGGTTGCAATCAGTCATCTTAAGTAGTAAAAATAAAAATTATTGGAAGGACTTTAGGGAACTCAGAACATGGCTGAGAAGTCTGGAGTCTAAGCTTGAGACAGGACAGAAACTACTGGCCTGTCTGAGAATGAAAGGACACAGTCTCCCCTCTGTTCTGGGCCCCCACTTCACAAGCCTGGCCCAGAGGGCCCCATGATGGTTGAGTTCAGGCAATCAAGTGCAGGAGACAAAGCCACTAATGCATGCTGTCTCTGGGGTCCCTTGTAGAGGGAGGGCAAGCACCAGGACGTGGCTCCCCAGGACTCCCACCTCGGGCTGTGTGCAGGTGGCAGCAGGGGTGGGGCAAGCTCATGCAATTCTCAGGAAATCTATGCGGGATGTACAGGTGGGTGGGTTTCCTGTCAGTATTGTGTTTGACAATAAAAAATGTTGAGAATTTATGTGCCAGGCACTGGGCTGAGTCCTGTATAGGAATTAACTTATTGGAACCTCTCAATGTCTCAGTGAGATGGTTGTTATCACCCCCATTTTATAAATGAGGAAACTGAGGCACAAGGAGGTAGAAGTTGGGAGTCTCTGAATATCCTAAGATGGGCAGCACAGGACTTGGCACTTGGCCAGCCTCTCAGTCTTGGGAACTGGAGGGAAGCTGGTAATGTAGGCTGGGGTGGGTGCTGGGGTGTGTGTGCTAAGACAGCAAACCAGCTGTCTTGTATCTGCAGCTCCTAGTAAAACGTGCTCAGTAAATGTTCGTGGCATGGATGAATGAATGAATGAATGAATGCATATATAGACTGAGTTTGTGGTCAGCTGGTGAGTACAGGGCTACATCACACCATTATTTTGCTTTGTGTATCTAAATTGGCCTTTGGATGCCCTGTGACCTGCTCCCTGCCCCAGCCCCCCACTCCCCTCGCTGTGCCTGGGCTCTCACTGCCTGAAAGTGGTAGCCCCAACAGGGAAGAGGCCTGGCTCAGCCCTCAGTCCTATTGCCTCCTGCTTATACCAGGTCTACATGTTCTCTATTCTTCATGCCTCCACTGTTGCTCTGATGGGCAGCGGGTGGGCATGCAAGGGGCTGGCTCCCATTCACAAGTATAAGCTCGGTGCAGGGAGTGGCAACCAGGTTCTTTCTGCCCCCAGGAATATGAGCAGGCTTCGAAAGTGGACCAGTTTGTGACACGTTTCCTTCTGCGGGAGACAGTGAGCCAGCTACAAGCCCTGCAGAGCTCGCTGGAGGGGGCATCAGATACTCTAGAGGCCCAGGCCCGGGGCCTGAGGTATGAAGCCTGATTTCTTGATCTTGGGTTTTGAGCCTGGGTCTGACTGTCCTGGGAAGCTTGTCTGGCCCCACCCAGGCCTCACTCTGTTCTGGGGCCACGGGCCTGGCTCTGTGGGTCTGGGGGCAGTAGGCTGACCCTCCACTTCCCTTAGGTCAGATGAAGAGAGTGTGGAGGTGCAGCACAGGCCCCGAGGCAGCCGGCGGGCAGGGCGTAAGGCCCTGCGGAGCATCAGTTGGTCACCCACCTCGTCTCCAGGCTCCTCTGACATAGGTGGGCCTATCTGGGTGGGAGGGTTGCTGAGGAGGGCCCAGCGTGTGTGCCCTGGGTCTGCTCCTCCCCTGCCTCTCACTTTATCCTGCGGAGACTCCCAGCCTGCGGGGTCCATGCCTGATGTCCTCCTTCTCTCTCCTTGGGTCCCCACCCCAGGGCGGAGCTCCGAGGCTGAGATGCAGTGGCAGCTCCAAGTCAATCGGCTTCAGGAGCTCATCGACCAGCTAGAGTGCAAGGTGAGTGGCCAGGGGAGGGCCTTCCTGGAGTCTGCCCACATCAGGCTACGCTGGAGGCCTGGCCCATGCTCTGTGTCCCCACAGGCTCCCCGGCTGGAACCCTTGCATGAAGAGGAGTTTACCAAGGAGTCCGACTCGGTGAGTTCCAGAGAGCCGGGGAGGCGGCTGGGTTTCAGACTGGGAGACGGTGCTCATGGAGGGAGGGGCCAGCTGCCCAGTCAGCCTCTGCCTTCCCCAGGCTTGGCCCAGCCTCCCTCCCCCAGGCTGGCAGGCAGGGTTCTAATCCTTGCTGTGTGATCCCGCAGAAATCATTGCCGCTCTCCTGCTACTTGTTTCCCTCTGCATTTCTGAAAGCTGATGCTTTGTGGAGGGGCTAGTAGGAAGCGGTCCCTAGTTGGGAGGGACAGGGGACTAGATCAACCTTGGGGAGGGGGTAGAGGGGAGTCAAGGATATTGGGCCAGGTTGGGGCAGGAACTCTACCTCAGGGTAAGTGGGCTTCCGTGCAGATCATGAAGGGTAAATGGGAACAGACTGTTTCTAGAAATTGGACACAACTGTTTCATTGAACTGATCTAGTCTCAGGATTGAGAGATTGATTTCATGCAATAACTGAACAATTCAAAAATCTACCACCTCAACACATGTCTGCAAAAGCTTGATTTCAGGGAGGTGCACTGTAGACTGCGTAGAAGTTGTGGACTTCTCTCTGTGAGGATCTTTTCTTATCTCTCTCTAAGGGAGAAGGCAGAAGTTAATTTGCAAACTTTTGTTTGCTGTGCTTACCTGGATAACCCCCCTAGCTGACCTCGTTCCTCCTCCCAACTGCCCTTGTCTCAGCTAAGCTATTTAAGATGGCAGCTAGAGGGTCATGCAAGGCCTTTAGTCATGCAGGGTGTCTCCCATACACGCAGGAGGTGTACTTGTTATTATTAAACTTTTTTTTTGGCTTTTTCTCTTCTACAAAAAAGAGGGGTGGGTGTGTTAGTGCACCCAGGGGTACCCAGGGGCCCCAAACTATTAAGGAGTGCACACTCTAATAGGGGGCCAACCATTTGCCACACAAAGGCTAAGGAAACAGATGTTTAGTGTGAAAGAGTTTTAATAATTGCTCAAGAAAGGATTTCAGAAAATCGTTTCCTAACAAAACTCCATAAATTACCCATACTCTCATGGGCAAGTGCCCAGCCAGACAGGCTCCATCCAAGATGGGGCCACTGAGTCCTAAAAGCTTGCCACAAGCCAAAGGTATCTTCCGGCAAGCAACCACAAGAAAGTGATTAAGCAGGTCCCAGAGAGCTGGTACAGAGGAGAGACTCAAAATTCGAAACAGACCACACAGGTTAACATGAAGGGAAGAAAATGGCTGCCACTGTCTCTGCCGGAGACCAGAAGCAGCTTCCCCACACATCTCTCACCCACATGTCGATTTCAGATGTCTACATCTCTCTCCTCCATGTGTCTCCTCCCATTGTCTCCTCCAAGTCTTTCTCAGAAATATTCCTTCCCTTTCTATATTCATCTTGCTCCTTCCCAGCTGCCTGCCATATGGCATGCTGGGACTTGTAGTCCTCAGTTCCTGAGAGCTCTTCAGTGTGGACATGGGTGGAGTTTGCAAAAAACATCAGGAGGTGGGGGAGACTGCCTCTAATAGTTGGGGGTCATCCTGGAGGCCACAGCTAGTCCTTCACCCTGTGCCCAGCCCTTTTCCTGCTAAGCAAGCTGTCTCTTGTCAGCACATCCTTGTGGCCCAGAGGCAGGTGCAGGTGGCAGAGGAAGCCTTGCAAGACTTCCACCGTGCCCTGTGCTGCTATGTGGACTTCACAGGAGCCCAGAGCCATTGCTTGCAGTGAGTTCCCAGCCAGCTGCTGGGCTGGCCAAAGTTGGGTGGTGAGAAGGGAGGAGGGCTGGGGCTTGGTGTCCTGGCCACCTCCGGTTGGGTGGGCAGTGGTGGTGGCAGCCTGGGTCTGGCCTGGCCATCTTTTTGGCTCCACAGTGTGTCTGCCCGGAAGAGGCTGGACAGTGCCTCCTTTACCCTATACGAGTTCTGGCAGGATGAGGCCTCCTGGAGAAGGTATGAATGATGGTCTAACAGTAAATTTATTGAAACAGGCCTGAGTTAAAATCATCCTCTCTTATACACTGGCTGTGTGACCTTAGGAAAGTTACCTAGCGCCTCTGAGCCCCTGAGGCCTTTTTGAGATAGGAATGATAACAGTTCTAGCCTGGTATAAGCTAAATGAGATTATGTGTGAAGAACTGAACACAGTGCCAGATGCCCATGAACATGCACTGCTACCACTGTGACAAACCCTGTGCCAAGCACCTGTGTGTTACGTTATGTCATCCTCGCCATAGCCTGGTGAGGTAGACAATGTCACCCCCATTTCACAGAGGAGAAAACTGAGCCTCAGATCCAATATGAGGAAGGACTGGGACCTGAATCCAGGTGGTGCCATGGGGTGGGAGTGGGGAGCTCTTACCCACATGTCCTGATTTTTGGGGGGCTGGCTCCAACTTCAGTCTACTCTGTGGCTCTCTGTAGGCACCAGCAGTCTGCCTGTAGTAAGGCCTTCCAGCGCATTCTCATCGACCACCTGCAGGCTCCAGACACCCTCACCACTGTGTTCTTCCCAGGTGTGCTGCAGCTCCCAACCCTCTCTACAGCTTGGGGACCTGGGGAGGGACAGTGGGCTCCTGAAGGCCTCTGACCTTCAACCTTTGACCTACAGCCTCCTGGTGGATTATGAACAATAACTGAGCTTGATCGGCATAAGCCAAGGACCCTGGGACCCTGCCTGCCTCTTTCTGGAACTTCTGGACTGGTTGACTCAGCACCCAAACCAAGGATGCTGCCTCCTAGACTTGGGGCCTGGCTCTCAGAGACCTCCAGACCCAGCTGGTGGAGATCTCAGCTCACGGATCAGGGACTAGGCTGCTTGCTTTCTATTTCTTTTTTAACTAGTGCATTTTGTTCTTTGTAGCTTTGGCCTCTGCTTGGCTCAGGAGGCCTGGATTCTGGTCCCCTCTCTGCCCCTGCTGTGTGACCCAGGGAGGGCCCCTTCCCAGTCTGGGTGGGGCCCAGGCCCTCTGGCTGCCTACTGAGTGCCCTGCTTTCTTCTTGCTATCTTGGGGCCAGGCTTCTGCTCTTTAACCAGCAGAATGAGGGCTGATGCTCAGGGACACCCCCATACTGAACTTTGACCCCTGAGACTGGACTGGGTCATTCTGTGGTGTGGGGTAAGGACCATGTCCCTGTTACCCACCAGGGCTAGCAGGCTCAACTCTGACTTTTCTAGACTCTTCTAGCACCAGAGACCTTGGGAGGCTCCTGGGTCGGTTTGCATGTTATTTGCATATAATTTGCATGTTCATGCCTACCCATACTCAGGGCACTATGGGAAGCCCCAAGGTGACCTTGCCAAGTAGCAATAATTTGGGCCTAGAGTCACCTGCTGCCCCCAGATACCTCTGAACCCAGCCCAGGACCGCAGCCCAGAGGCAATAAAGGCAGTGGTCACCTTTGGCATTGTGTCCTCCCTCTCCCTTTGCAAGAAGACCAGGCTGTGGGGAGAGTCTGCATTTCAGACCAGAGAGAATCTTTGTTCAGAAATCAACTGATTCCTGTCTTGAGTTTCCAGGCTTGAAGCTAGTGAGTCCTTAATCCAGGTTTCCTCAATTTAAGGCTCTCTTACCTGACAAACCCTTGTTCTCACTTCTGCTTTCAACTACCCCAGCTGGTGGTCCTCGCTTCACCTCCCCACCTTGCGGGCCTGGGGCCTGGGGGCCTGGAACTGGGGCAGAGCACAGAGCCGCCTCAGGGACCCAAACAGATCCGGTGAGACCTACCTCCAGACGGAATGAGCCTCTCACCTAGTTTGTCAGGACCTGTCACAACCCCTGCCACCTGACCTGGAGCCACGGAGCAGTGTCAGGAAAACAATGGGGGGTCCATCGTGGGGGAAGTGAATGGGGGCAGGGAGGAGATGACAGACATGGCCCTCGGCTCTGAAGGGGAAGCCCAAGGCCGGGTAAGAGGACCGGATGGCCTGGGGCTGTTCTGGGGGGTACGGCTGTTAGGCATGTTTCAGACAGGAAAGGGCGGGGCTTGCTGGGGCTCCGAGGGCAGGAGCGCTGTCTCGGAACTGAAGGAAGCGCAGCCTGTGAGCAGGGAGTGGGCTAAGGTGCGGGGTGGGGTGGGGGGAATGGCAGCGCGTGCCAGGAGGCGCCCAATCCACCCCACTTCCCAGACTGGCAGCTGTTTCCAGAAGGTGCTGCCGCACCCGGGCAGTCTGGGCGGTTGGAGTGAGGCCTCGCCAGGGAGGTCCTCCTGCTCTCTGTCCCGTGTTCTCGTTGCTTCTGCTCTGTTTCCCCCACAAAAACCAGTGGCAACGGCAAACCTTCAGAGCTAAAACTCTTCCCATCGCCCTCTTGGACAAAGATGCTGAAATCCTCAAGCAGCGGCACCTCCTCATTGAGCACCTCCTCAGATGCCGCCCCTCGGCCCGCCGCTCTCTGCAGGCTGGAGGCGGGGTGCGGGCAGGGGCGGGGTGCCGCAGCGCAGGAGAGAGTGGTGGTTCTGCGGTCAGGAGGCCTCTGGGAGGGAGACTTGCTTTCAGCCGTGAAAAAGCGGGTCTCCAGGCCGGGCTGAGGGGCGCTGGGCAGGGGGAGCGGCAGACGGAGGGGGCAGCAGGTGGCGCCACAGGGTGTAAGGAGGTGTGCCGGGAGCCCAGGCGGGAGAAGCTGGAGGTCTCGCAGGTAATGGGGAGCGAGGCTGCCAGGTGGGTGCTGTGGGGCTGCACTGCAGACAGGAGGCTGGGGTGAAGCCACCGGGAGAGCAAGCCGCTGAGCAGGGGCTGCAGGCTGGAGGGGTGCTCAGGCCTGGTGTTGACTAACTCGGCCAGCTGCCAGCCCGCCGCTACCCGCTCCGGCGCCCCCGTGGCCCGGGTAGTGGCCCCCACCTTCTCTGCAGCCTCTTCATGGGGCGCCCCAGCTCCCCCGCCCCTCCCCACAGCTCACTCCTCATAAAGCGGCAGCCGGGAAGGCCTTGTAAAATGTCGCTGTGCTGACCACCTCCCCCGGTTAACCCCCAGACGGTGCCCCGAAATCTAGTCGGATTTGATTCCGCATTCACGGCCCGAGGAAGGAGCCCGGACTCCGCGCAGCGGACGCAGCGTCTCCCCACACCCGCCGCCGGGGGGCTGCTCCCCGGCCCCCCTCAGCCCCGGCCTCCTCGCCCGCGCTCTGCCCGCCCCCAGCGCCCGCTGCGGACACGCCTCCTTAGCCCCGAAGCCCTGGGTCAGAGCGGGCGGGTTTGGGCCGCCCTTCCCAGCCCGGGCCTCGGTGCCCAGTTCTCGCGGGCGTGTCAGCTCGCGGGGCACCTGTGTTGTGGCAGCTGCCGGGATGGAAACGCGCGCCCCAGGGCGGGCAGAACCCGGAACCTGGGAGCGCGCCTGGCTCCTTCCGCCAGCTGCCACCCTCCCGCCCTTCCACCCGCTCCCTGCACCTGCCTCCTCACCTTCCTCCCGCCTGTGCCAGTGACCCCCCCCACCCCCCACCCCCTGCACATCAAACCTGTCCTGGGGACTGGCCCAGTGCCAGGGCAGGTGCTGGAGCGACAAGAGCAATCTAGGCCCGGGAGAAGCCCACACTGAGGCCCTAGCAGCCTCCGGTGCGTGGAAACAAAGGGACGGAGCATTCGACGGGCCTTCAGCAGTTACTCTCAGAACAAACATTACTTGAGTACGGTCGGGGGCTCCAAGCTGGGTCACCGGACAAAGACTATCCATAAGGAAATGGCATGCGGGCAGGGAGAGAAGCAGGTTGTGATGGCAGCCTGGTTTCCTGGGCGCTGGGGACTGGTTCAGGGACACCCACCACCACGCCGTTCCTGCTGCTAATACTGTAGGCCTGGTGAGCGCCCCATGCACAGAGGACGAGGCGGGCTCGGCAAGCGACTGCCTCGCTCAGTGTCTCCCGGTCCATCTCCTCCACAGCACCCACAGCCACTGGCTCGAAGCATGAGAGAGTGAGGGAGATCTTGGGTTTACTCTGGTGACAAAAACAGCCCAGGGCTGGAGGACAGTGGCAGCTACAACCAAGGAAAGAATGAAGCCAAGTCCTAGGGCCTCAGGATGGCAGGCGGGGCAGCAAGGAAGAGCCCTGGGAGCACACTGCAAGGTGGAGGGTGGGTCTGGTGTGGGCTTTCCAAAACCCAGCCCTCGGATGGTGGGTGGGGCTGGCGGGCTGAATCACGTCTGGAACTCTCTAGGCGGGATCCAGAGGGCATGCGTTGTGGGGCAAAAAGGCAGCCTCAGAAAAAGTTGGTGCTGGGGGAAGGCAAACGTTGACCAGGCATGCACCTTGCACCTTGGATAGGAATCCGGCTGCGGGGCGGGGGCAGAGGCAGCAGGTCTGACTCTATCCACAAGAGGGCGCCCGGCGCTAGGCAAGGAGGACATGGAGGCTGCTTTAGACTTGGCTAAGAGCTTGTGGGGGGAGGGCGGCTAACCTACACCCTAAAATACCAGCCGTCAGAAACAAGCTCAGAAGAGCAACACACGTTTAGATAAAAGCATGTTTGCTCATTCTGAGGTTATATCATCTGTTTATACTGAGGAGCAAGCTTGTTGGTAAAATCTGAAAGCTCCGCCACCTCCTACCTCTCTCATCTTACCTTCCAGAAGGAACCGCTCTCCTATTTTTCATCTCCTTTTTGTGTCTATGACCAGGAATCATGTGGTAATGCGTCACTCATTTTCAGATTCTTATCTGCTGTTCAGTAGGGCACTGGAAATTCATTTCAAGGCTTGTGAGCTCCAGAATTCTATATGCCTAGTTATTTTGCTTACTTTCGCCAGCACCACCCTTAGAAGTGTCATAGTTTTGAATTCTGCATGGATAATACTTCGCGATGTTCGAGGGGCTCTAAATCCTGTTGATTGTTGCTCACAGTGGCTCATTTCCTTGGATGCTTGGTGTTTTATTTTTAACATATATAATTGGTTAATATGTGTAGTATTGTGATTGATCTTTTGATATTTTCCTCTAGAAGATTTGCATTTTTGCTTCTGTCAGATACCAGGAGATATTAATTTTCTCAGCCTGGGGAATCCTTTGACCTTTGGAGTCATGTAAGCTGAACCTCAGCCTTGGAAGAGCAGGTGGAGGAGTGCAGACTCTACATTTTTTTCTTCAAGTAGGGCAAGAGGGGGGCGGTTTCTGCCTAGTTCCCATTGCTGACAGGTCAAAGCTGCTGAGTGTTCTGGTCTCATGAAGAGGTCCAGTTTTGCTTCTCCATTTTGTATTGGCTCAAAGCTTACTCTCTCATCCCCTGAAAGACCAGTTAACACCTCATACAAGACTTCTAGAAATTTCTCTTGTGCCCACACAGCACAAGTTTCCTCTTTCATATTGAACTACCTCTGGGGTTTCAGTTTACTCTTTAATTATTTTTTCCTGGCCCTGGGGAGTTCTTATATTTTCTCATCCGTGACCTCAGCAATGCAGTTAAAAGAACATATGTTGGAATTTACCTGATTTCTGGGTGTTTTATGGTTATGGAAAAATTTTCACTGTCATTTCTATAGCACATTTAGCATAGTATTTTACTATATTTTCTCAGTCCCTGGGAAGTTTTTTTCCAGCACTAAGACAGCTTGGCAACCAAATGTGTCTGTGCTCTGCTGACAGTCACAAGGCTGAGGTCCTGTAACTGTTCTAGGTTGTGGATCGCAGCCCTGGGCAGCTGCTGAGAAGATTGGCGGTTGGCACCATCTGCAGAAAGATCATCCAGCTAACGCCCCACCTGGCCTTCGGGGCCAAGGTCACAGTCCAGCCCTTCTAGGTTACAGATCTAGTAACCAAACCCTCCCTCTGCCTTTCAGGAGCCTGGGAAGCTGGTGGTGTCCACCAAGCTTCTCAGGCAGCACAGCTCGAGAGAAGTTGGTCTAGGACAGAGGTCAGAGATGGGTACTCAGGCGACAGGAGTGAGGCCTCAGGTGACTGACCAGTAAACTGAACTGCCAGCCCCGACTCCATACGCACAGGTGGGTAGGCCATGGCATGCCGGGGCACTACAGGGGCTGCAGGAGGTGCGAGAAGCTGGTGGGCTTTCAGGAAAAGCAATTTGAATACACGCTTCAAGAATCCAATAGATATTCAGTTCTAGAAATCCCCCTTTGGAAAAATATCCAAAGACCTGAATCAAGTGAAGGAAGATGGTGAATAGGGAAAACCTGAAAGCAATCCAATTTTCCCAGCGGGTGGTTTGTTAAGACAATTAGGTCCTTGGGTCTCCCTGGTGGCCTAGGGTTAAGTCTCAGTGCTATCACTCAGATGGCCTGAGTTTGACCCAGCCAGGGAGCTAACCCACATGGCGCAGCAGACCTCTCCTGACTCACCCGCTGCTCCTCTCAGCAGTGTATTTCAGTCAGTCTGCCTGTTCTGCTCCCCACTCTGTCTCTGGGTGAATCCCCTCATCCCCTACACCTCTGGGCTACACCCCAGTTCCACCTAAAAAAAAGAAAATTAGGTCCTTGACTAAGTCATACAACTATTAAGCAAATAAATGTGAAGGCAATAGTGAACTTATGATTTAACACCAATGTAAAAAGGGCATAAATGGATACTCACAAGTCTAGATGTTAAATGTTTATGAGTTATCAGGAAAAAAATACCTACATGTCCACTACTCCATTTGTCCAACTTTCTGTGGTGGTATTTTCCTTATGAAAACATCACTTGATGGCAGTGAAGAGCATTCAACAAGGAGCTTGGTAGTGTCTGCCAAGGTGACTTTGGCACTTGATGGCAGGCCCTTGGGTGGGCAGGCCAAGTGCTGGGCATAAGCTCCGGCCTGGGCCCCTCTGCTGGCTTCCCAGAGGTCCAGCAGCTGGGACATTCCCTTAGCGGCACCTCCTGCTTTCACTCCCCGCCCCCCCCCCCCCCCCCATGCTCTTCCCTGCCCAAGATTTGGGCAGGGAGAGGGGTCACAGAAGCCTCGTATCGCCTGCTGTTCCACTTCCCGCCCGGTCCCATTCCAGCTTGAGTCAGAAAAGGAATATAGCCTTTTTATTGACTAAGTAGAACAAACTAAATACATATTTAACAGTTTTGGTTCATTTATACAGTACATTAAATAAGTTATGCACAGAGTTAAGTAACAAAAGTTCCTATCAGAGTAAAATGATAAAGCACAGAAAAACCAGACTACGCATCCTGTGGGTGGCTTCACATTCATCACCCCCTTTAAAACCACGCTTGGAGGCGGTTTTCAGTTTATTTACATTATTGGCTTTCTTATGGATGGAGCATTTGTAACTTCATCAGGAACTTGGGAAGCCAGGAAAGTGGACCGAAGGCCTCTCAGCCAAACAGCACTTTCAACCATTCACCAGCTGCTTATTGCTGCTTCTCTCTGCCAATTACTTTCAAGGCAGGGAGGGGGCTTCTCTGCCAGCCACACACGCCCTATTTGGTATAAGCATCAATGTGTGTGCACTGGGCAGTTATAGACCTGACCAGATGTGTCTGCAGGGGAAGTTCCATCTCTGGGACTGTGGAGGGGGAGACGGGACTTAAGGCCCACCCTCACCTCCTAACCTCCTGGTTCACGATGGAAAAGGCTGCCTACACCATCATCTTTGGAAATAAGCACGTCAACGCACGTGGGCAGAGGCAGGCAGTCAACATTTTGGTTTCGTAAGAACTACACTCAAGTGTTGGAGGGGCCCTATTTGGCAGTTTGTCTGCGCCTCCCTCACCCCACCCGGAAGGATTCCAGAAAGCTGGCCCATGCGGGACCAGTCCAGGGCCCTCTGGCTCTTGTTACATTTGGTTCAAACATGCCACCACCTAGTTCTCTGCAAACAAACAAAAACCCAAGAAAATTGGTTTGGTCTACTGACCCAAGAACCTGGGAACCAGTTCTGAGGAAATCCTCCAAAATGTGTTTAATTTTAAATGATTTATTCAATCCATAACCCCTTCTACAGTTTCCAGGACAAATGGTCACCTAGGCATTATTTATGCTTTCATTCCAAAGAATTCACTACCATACAATTCCAACTGTGTTGCTGAACCTTCAAAGCCACTTGTGGAGTTGTCTTGTGGAACTATTCAGAACAACATCTACACCATTTTGCAAGCAATGATAGTGTGGGGAACAATTCACTTTGGGGCGGACTGTCCAAGGAAAAGGGTAGATTTTCTCTCTAGAAGTTACAGATTCTCATGTTGACACCAAGAAGTCACTAGTTCCTGGTAGACCACCCGGCCCAGAGGGCAGCAGCCATTGCTGGGCACAGCCCCGTGCAAAGGAAGTGTGCTGTGTCCAGACTGACGCCCGCTGGGATAGTGTGACTCGGCATGGCCCAAGAAAAGATCCACTCTCTCTGACCTCTGGGCCGGGTGACTGCGCCTGAGCAGATCTGCTTGAGCCCCTCCCCTGGGGTGGCGGGACCCTCCACGATGGAGTACTCACTCTCACAAGGTGGGCCACCTATTCCTGAGCAGAAGGAATTAACTTACTTCTTCCTGAGCCAGTTTTCACCACCCAATGGAGTCAGGCAGGCACAGGCAGTGGGTCACTAAAGACTTTGAGGTCCTGCCCTCCAGCAGCCCGCACACTTAGAGATGGCTCCCCTTTTGGCACTTTTGGTTTCTGTGGTTGCTGAAGTCATTCCCCACTGGGCACAGGACGACGAGGTCCTATCACCGTCAGTGGGTGATGGTGAGCTGAGACTTCATCCTCCAGGCGTGCTCTGGTGGGTGCGGCCCTCGCCACATGGGCTTTTAGTTTCTAGAACACAGACGCGCCGTGACCACAGATAATGCCTTCAGCACCATCACCCAAGCCCCATTGTCTTTTATGTCCTCCCCCATATTATGAAGGTCAGTCCTTCTGCAGTCTGATTATATTAAGACACTTTAAATGTATCTTACACTAGATGAAAGTGGGGAATCTGAACTTGCACCTCCAACCTGGTAGCTGGGGTGGTGCCAGCAGACAGTGGAAACCAAGTGGAGAACCTGGACTCACCCCTGCACCTCCAGCCATGACTCTGCCCTAGATATTGCCTCATGTCCTCCCAATCTGAGAGCTGGAGAATTTCAGAGAGGGAGCCTAAGGAGGGACTTCTTCTATCCAAATAGCGTCAGATGTCCTAGCAACTTATGTGTGGAAGTGGCTAAAATGACAGTTGAAGGTCTGAGAACCGAACTATAGTGCGGAATACTGTCCAGAATTTCAGCTTGGCCTCTGGGTAGCACATGAATGGAGAAGTCTAGGGCAGCACTCCAGGCTCCGCAAACTAAGCTGTCACTGGAACTAAAGTCCCCAAGTAGACCGGGACCTGCACACTAAGACTCAGCTGAGGAAACTGACATGGAGCCACAAGAAATAGTACTTTGTGGGTTTTGACTCTATTCCAACCAGGAAAAACATGAGCTACTCTGGCTAGTCTTGTGGCCACTACAAAGATTTAAAAAACCTGCCTAGATGTTCATTCAACTTGCGGATTAAGACAGTGAGTCAAGGACAATGAGAGACCCTCTTGTTATATATGATTTATAGGTTCCCTGACATCTTCATGGGATACCCCACATCTTTTTTGTCCCAGCTAGACTAGGCAAGATTTATTGGAAACTTGTACTTGAGCACAAAGGAGGCAGGACCAAAAGAGAAAACTTTTTTAGCCTGGCTTCACCAGGGAAGCGAAGGAGAGGTTTTTAAGGGGTGGGACTACCAAGGCGGGGCTGAGGGGAGCCATAGCATGTTCTGGGTTGGGCTATACTGGGGCATGCATGCTCCATACATAGCATGTTTCATTAACATTTGAAGTCTCCACCCAGGGGTGTGTGCGTGTTAGCATGCTAATGAGACTTCAGTTAGGATTTTTACTGTGCATTCCGGACCCTCCCTCTTCCAGGAAAATTGTGAAACAATCATTAGTCAGGAAATAGCACCTTTTGTCTAGGCACAGCGCCTCTGGTCAGTCTGGTGGGCCAAGGTGTTTGAACAGGATGTTGAGGCAGGACCCGCCAGTCCATGATTTGGTCCACCTGTTCAAACATGTTAGGCAATTCAGTCCTAGATTCAGTCCACCTGTTTAAACAGGACATTGGGCAACTCTTAGCCTACTGGCTTGAAATTTCACTTACCTAGGCTGGGACATCCCACATCTTACAGAAATGTAGGCAGGCCCTGTCTGGTGTGCTGAGTTCATCCTGTTAAAGTAGCAACACCCCACCGGCTGCTGCAGTTTAAGGAGTTCCACAGTAGAGGAACGTGACTCTGTTCTTTTATCTCTGGGTGTCCCTTACCATATGCAGTGGAAATCCAGGTATTTTAATGGTGCCTTGTATTGAGTTTCTTTGTAACACAGAAAATCCTTGGGTAAGGTAAAGTAGGGACTTAAATTTCTTAAAGTAAAATAGACCTATATGCAAGAACAATGCTACCTATGCTGATCCCTTTCCTTTATGGGACTGAGAGCTTTTATTTCTGTCTGGTCAGTGCATATAAGGTGGCCATGTGAAGCTGGGCCAACCAACTCACTCCAACCGATTCCTTGGGGAGAGAAGGTGCTGGAGGCTTGGAGGTAAAGAGAGGAGGGTCAGGGTCCTTGGGCTTCCAACAGGTGTTGGCAGTTCCAAACATTTTAAAAGGTGATGTCATGTCTGCAGAGCCAGGTAAGCAGCTAGAAAACTCCCTGAAGTTGGGAAGAAAAATTGGTCAGGTTCTCTCAGAATGGTTGTCACATTTCACAGAACGTTTCTTAGCTCAGAGAGGGAAAGTATCAAACATAACAAAAAAAGGGAAATTGATATTATATGCCTGATAATAAGCTGATGTAGTATATATAATGACATGGAACCGTGGGGTTTGAAGAATTCCTTCAGGTCCAGGAGGGCAGCTCAGATGTGACCAGGCCTTGATGGTGAGGCAAGTTCCAGCCACACCATTATCACATCCTATGGGATAATCGTAGCTTAAGAGGCACCAAATGGAGACCACGGGAAGGAGACCCACAGCGATCCAGACATGCGTGGTCTGAGATAAAAGGACAGAACGAGATGACTGTGCAAACGGCCAAGCGGTGACAAATGTATCTGTATTTCCAAAAGATGATCCAGTCAGTAATTTGACGTACTAGTTTGGCCAACATGCTCAGTGAGAAGAGACTATCCACAATTGAGTCTCATTCCCTAGAAGACCAATCCATGCGCTGGAAACTTATTTTTTTTGCACAAGCAAAGTAAGAGAGAAAAAAACAGATCCTAAACTAAAGTAGCCACCCAGGTCGGGAAGTCTTGTCCAAAATGATCTGTGATGCTTGCTGGAAGTTCTATTTATATTTTTTATTATTAGGGGTGCTTGTACTGAAACGGTGACTTCTTTCCTGTGGTTTCAAAGAATCGTAACAAGTCTGAACAGCAGGGTTGAGGAGGGAGTCCTGAGAGCTGCTTTTTGCCTGCCCAACTCCTGATGGGGAATCAATGGCATTTGCTGAGGTTGGAAATGGGGCACAAGGAGCTGTGTGGCAGGGAGAAGAGCCACTTCTTATCAGAGGGTGGTTTCCTCCACAGTTGCTACCAGCTCCAGGCTTCTGCTGTGGGAGGACAGTGGACTAGAGGACAGTGCCCAGGACCAGCTGCCTCCAGCCTGGCTGGGCACATTCAACAGTCGGCTGCCTCAAGAGGCAGGGAGGGGAGCTGGTGGTCTATACTGAAAAGGGGCCAGTCATGCCAGTTCCAGCTGGGAGAGGAATAAACTGGGAAGCCATGGAGGAGGCAGCTCCGGCCAGCTGCCTCTGCAGAGAATGGCACACTAGTTCCCCAAGGGAACTGGGCCAAAAGTCTAAAGAGGTTTGGGAGCAGAGTCTGCTGGGCTTGCACTCCTGCCTCTATTACATTTCCTGCTGATGACCCAAGAGCTATTTGCACAGGTTCAAACACCAGCCTCCTGTGCAGTGTTTTGTCATGCTGCAAGGTCGTCAGGGTAAAGTGAGTCTGGGGCTCAGAGTCCATTGGTGTCGATGGCTGTCACAGAGGCAGGTGTTGAAGAACGGGAAGTGGTTGCCGAGGTCTTGTCCAGGGCTGGGCTTGGCACATTGCAGTCGGTGGACCTGGCTGAGGTACCCCTCCCTCCAGGAAGCAGTGGCCGACTCTGGCTGTGGGGACTCTGGCCATGTAGGTTCTGGCCACAGAGACGGTGGTGTCGCTCCCAGTCCTTGTGCTGGCAGAAAGAGCCACAGTATCGTGCGATATTGCAGCCACTGCAGGTCTCACTGGCTTTGCGGCCACAGTTCCAGCAGTTCTGCAAGATACAGCCATCAGTTAGTTGCTTGGATCTCATGAAGCAGGCTTGTCATAACTGTCACCCGCACTGTTGAAGATGGGACTATATGGGGAGAAGATGGGCTTTGGACCTACACTCACCTGGGCTTATCCTGTCTCTACAGTTATCTACTTGTGCACAGGAAATGCAAATTCCTTATCTGTAAAACAGAAAACTGCCCACCGTGTGCTGATGCACTAGCAAGATGAGGGGATGCAGACACACACACACAAGCATCAGTGTAAGGCAGGCAAAGTCCCATCTCCCACTGAAGGTACTAACTTGCTTTGACTAATTTAATCCTCAGCAATAAACCAAACTCTTTCCCAGGGTCCCTCCACCATAGCTACCTAGTCTAATCCCACACTTGCACGTGTTTAGAAAATTATTTTCTCGCTCCTCCCAATGGAAGAATGATCTTATTTTCACTGACAACACCAGATCTTTTGAAAATGTAACCTGTCAGAGGGCTAGCATGGGTGAATAGGAGGGCAGGTAGTTCTGCTACCTCCTCTGTGCCCATGCTCCAGAGGTGGGGTGGGGATCATGGGATCTGGCTCATGGTCCTGCAGGTCCAGGTCAAAAAGTTTTCTTAATGCTCTTTGCATTTTTCTAGAGGTGGTCAGGTACTGCTAGGGTTTAGCAGAATCACCCAGGGGCGGGGGAACAAGGCGAGCACCAGTTGAGAATGCACTAACTCTAGTGTAGGAGATATGAGTCAAGTGAGGATAAGTCAGAGCCAGAAGCAGCAATCATGAAAGCAGCAGTAGAAACAGCTGTTAAACAGACATATTTCCCCAATCTACTAAGAAGGAAGATGCAGGCCATCAAGTGCAGCTCAGCACTGTCCCTTAGTACTCTCCTTCCTTAGGCTCCAGTGAGGATTCCATTAGGAAAACGTGCGCCCCGGCCTGGCCCATGTGCTAACAGAACTCTGACCTCTGTTGACTCCTCCTGCTCATTGATGACGAGGAAGGCATCCTCTGCAGCTTGCCGTTTGACATCTGCTATGGTCTGCTCCATCCGAGCTCTCTCTGTTGCAATCACTTCAAAGGCTTTTTGCTCTGCCTCGGCAACAGCTTTCTGTACTTCTGACATAGCCTGAATTTTCACCTTATTCACAGCTTCTTCTAGAAGAAAGTGACAGTAAAATCAACTGGCCGAGAAATCTTTTCCCTCCCACCCCACATCATTTCTAAGAAGGGACAGAGCCGAAACACAATGACTCTTGTAAACATACACAGGGATGAAGATATAAGCTCTCTTCTTATACTCATCCATTATACAATCATTTGATGGATACTATAGGGAGTGGGCACTGTGCTAGGGACTGGGAATACCTACTCTACTAAGGCATAGCCCATGTACTCTTAACCATTTGTGAGACAGTATAAAGGTGGATTAGGTGCCATGATACAGATCAGTAAGAGATGAGGATTCTAAGGGTAAATATGATCAATTTTATAAGTGGCAGGGGAAGAGCAAGGAAATGTATTTTGGTTGAGATGGCTGGTGGAAACAAATTTTTGAAAAGTCTTGCATACCACAATATGGAATCTGACCTTTTTTCCTAATGTGAAAATGTGAATCCCTAAAGGATTCTGTGCAAGGAGAAGACTGAAGACAGAGATACAAACTGCGTGGTGAGGGTAATAATTTAGTTGATAGATGCTACTACCATTTTGCTGCAATCCCTCCTCTCTGCCACTCCCTACAGGCTCGTTTCAGAGTCTGTTCTAAGAGTCTCTGGATGTGCTTGAAACAAGTAAAAGGCAAAAAGCTTGTGTAGAGCAAATGAGAAGGTTGGGGTGGCTCTGGGGCATCCAGTCACAAGTGAAAGGAGCAGTTTGGGGCTGAGCTCAGTAGGGAAACTTAGATTAAAGATAGAGATTTGGGTGCATTGCCAGGAACTTCAGGCTTCCAAAGCCCTGTCTAGTTACCCACACTATTTGCTTTCTAATAACTTGCTCTTATTCCACCACCCTGCTTGGTTTTCAGTGAATGGGTACTTGAAATAACACAGCTATACATTTGTACCTAAGCCCTAAGTCTCACTGTGAATGATCAACCATCTCAGTCCACAAGACTAGACAACCCAGAGGCCTAAGGGGACTTTCTTAATGCTTGGCTCTTATACATGGCCTAGGCTCGAAGGAGATCTAAACAGAGTGTTCTCAGACAATCTGAGAGCTTTACATCTTATCATTCCAGTCTTAAGAAAGTTTTCACCCCAAAGGTTAAGGATGATGCTGAGTTGACTTCACATCAAACTCTATCCTTCCCTACCTGGGCATCCACACAGATACATTATGGCCCACCACAGCTACCCTTTATAGTGCTCTTATTAGTTACCAGGTAGGCATTAAGTATCTCTTACTGACTAAATTTTATCTTCTTAGTTTAAGGACCAATCAATATGAATCACAGTTCAGATAAATATATATACATTTCTCATAGCATAATTTGTTCCTATTCTTTTGTGCATTTGTTTATCGTGGTCTTAATGCTCTTGAAAGAGTCTTTATGAATGACAGATGTTAATTTTTTTGTAGAAGTAAACAGGTAGAAAATCAAAAACTGTTCTGGATGAAAGGTCATGCCACTGGTAAAGGGAGGCAAGAAGGCCAGTTATTTGGAGAAGAATAACTTCAGGGAAATGACCACTTTAATACCCCATCTTACTAGAATAGGCAGTTCCCACCCTCCTTTAAATCTTTAAATGTCTACCAAGAATAGTCTAGACAAAGTTAGTGAAGGTAAAAGAGTAGAAGAGTAGAGGGATTGAAGAGCTGTTCCAAGAGAATGAAACCAAACATATAATGTATGAAAAGTGTGTGTGGATTTGAGTAAAGAGGACAAACAGAAATGAATTAATTAGCTATCTGTCCAGAAATGGCATAGAAATAGGGAATGAAAAAGTGGTTACTAAATGCCTCCCCATCATCCAGAAGTTTGTGAAAGGGACTTGGATGGACTGCAGGAAGTCATTCCAAGTTCTTAACTTGTAAAGTAACAAGACAGGCAGTCCAGATGTGTGGGAAAGCTGAAGGGAGAGAGGAAGGAGGCTAGAGCTCTATGGGGAAGGAGTTACGAAGCAACTACCTTTCCCCTAAAAATGTATTCGAAGCTTGCACAAATTAATGAATACACACGGCCTATAAGCAGACAGACACATACCAGTTTTCTTCCAAAACTCCACAGGAACATATCCTGCTCCTGGTCTGCTGCTGAATTCCCGCTGAGAATCTATATAAGAGAGATAAATGGCAGAGGGACATAAGCTGTCTACAACTGACATGCTTAGTTGTTATGAAAAATTTATTGGACCTCCCGTTTACCAGTTAAAGATTTAACCGTATAGGTTCATTTGGTGCAAAAAAAAATTCTGGTAAGAGATTAAACCAGATTATAAAGTAGTACACTTAATTTTTAGTTTTAAAACACACCCCTCAAATATTAACAATATTTCAAAAAGTAGCAAGATTATATAAACATAACTATAGATATATATTTATGTGCCTATCTATACCCAGTTTAATGGTTCTCATAATGTGCAAGTCACTGGCAACTATACTGTTGATATGTTAGAGATAGATATGGTTTTTGTTCTTGGCAACTCTGAATTCTTACATGTAATTTGAGGACGTTTCCTCTAAAGTTTCTCAAAATGCTTGCAATTAAAAGAAAAAAGGGCAAGAAAATACTCTGATCTGGAACATTGCCTTTCAAATGTATTCCAAAGAGGCACCCCAGAGGGTTGGAGGAAACAAAGTGGGGGAGGGGGAATCATGTGTCCATTGCAATTACAAGATAAATTTTATAATGGTTTCATTGCTTTAACAAGTATGAAAACCAGGTAATTGGAGATTTTTCTTTTCTTCTTTTTTTCCAAATTAGCCAGTGCCAGCAGATATCCTCACATCCTGATGCTCTGTTGAGGTTAATCAGAAAAGCAGATTTTATGCTCTTAACACTAGCCAACCACTGGTGCAAAGAGCAATCAGGTGACCAGTCAGTGTGGCAGAAGAGGCCAGCCTGGCATGAAACATTCCCCAGAATAGCATAAAATGGTTAGTCCTCATGAGAATGCCTGGGAATTGGCTGTAAACTGGTCTTGGATAGGGAGGGAACCTCTCCCATTCTAAGAACAATGAGCACAAAGAACCTACTTCTGTATCCCTCCACCCCCTGATCTGTAAGGGGCTAATGAAGGTTGTTTTTTTTTTTAATTTTTAAATCATGTACACATAGAATCACGTATATGTAGAATTTGCCATTTAGTCATAATGTTGTGCAACCATGCTCACTGCTTAGTTTCAGAACATTTTCACCACTCTGAAAGGGAAACCACAGAATTTTAATATTTTTGTTGCATCTTAGATCTCTAGGAAGTACTATCACCATGGTCAATGAAAAGAAAATAAAGGATTCTCTTCAACTGAGGTAAGGTTCTTGATTGATGTGGCCATTTGTCAAATACTTAAAAACTCAAGTATGAGATTCATAAAATAAATATAGGGAGAAATCCAGAAACAGAAGAGCAACAGTAACACAAGCTAAGGAGAAGAAAATCAATTTCAACTGAGTTTTAAATAAGGAAAACCATTAAGAAAGCCAATGATTGTACAGCTGCACTGTCAGTGGTGTTAAACGACAGCAGAAACACTTGTTTACTTATGTGTGGCAAGGAGAAGCCTTAGCCAACCAAGGAAAAGCCACTTCACTTCAGTCATCAATATACTCTTGGTCATATCTTTTGTACCTGCCCAGTCCTCAGCATTTATTTCTTTGACATATTAAGAAGGTGAGATGCGGGCCTCCCCTGGTGGCGCAGCGGTTGAGCGCTGGGCTGCGAAGCTGCCCGCAATCTCTACAGCGCTGGTTTGATTCCCAGCCGCCCGGTGAGGGTCCCACATGGCGTGCAGTCCTCTCCTGCCACCCGTTGCTCCCCTCAGCAGTGTACTTCGTCACTCTGCCTGTTCTGTTCCCTGCTCTGGCTCTGGTGAATTCTCTCACCCTCCCGCACTTCTGACTGTACCCAGTGCTTGTATAAATAAATCTTAAAAAAAAAAAAAAGTGACATGAACTTCACCCTAAAGGAACCTCTCAAGTTACTTAAGACATACCTAGAAATAGGGCTATTTTTGTGCTATTTCCAGAAGTCAGAGTAATTATTCTATATATGTAACTCAGAAAGAGACAGAAATTGGGATTTTTAGTTGGTTCACTAAGAAATAGACTCAGATGCTCTTATAATCAAAGATCAGAAAGATAATGCAAGCAAATAGGTCAGAAATGGGGGAAATGGTATTGTCATAATGCAGGGGAATGCCCTAGTTCTGGGGAGAAGTAGAATGAAGAGGCATTTAAGGATGAGTGCCATGGAAGGTCTGAGGTTTACTTGACAGACTGATTCAACCTGGACTTTCAGCTTTCAGCTCTGAGTATTTTTTTTTTTTTTAAAGATTTATTTATTTATTTATACAAGCACTGGATACAGTCAGAAGTGCCGAAGGGTGATAGAATTCACCAGAGCCAGAGTGGAGAGCAGAACAGGCAGACTGATGAAGTACACTGCTGAGGGGGGCAGCGGGCGGCAGGAGAGGTCTGCGCGCCATGTGGGACCCTCGCCTGGTGGCCGGGGATTAAACCAGCGCTGCAGAGGCTGCGGGCAGCTTCGCAACCCAGTGCTCAACTGTTGCGCCACCGGGGAGGTCCTCTGGGTATTTTTTTTAAAGGAAAGAAAGGTATTTTAATTTATAATTTATTTATTCATTTCTGAGTATTTATTGAGCATCAACTAGAGCTAGGCGTATCCGGGTAATACTCTTCTTTCTCTGAAACACTTTGGAATTTTTCTTTCCCCCCTTTTTTAAAAAAAAATATTTATTTATTTATGCATACAAGATCCGGGGTACAGGCCAGAGGTGCAGGGGGTGAGAGGATTCACCAGAGACAGAGTGGGGAGAACAGGCGGACTGACTGAAATACACTGCTGAGGGGAGCATCGGGCGAGACAAGAGAGGTCTGGTGTGCCATGTGACCTCCCTGGCCAGGGATTGAACTCCCGCTGCAGTGGCTGCGGATAGCTTCACAGTACTGAGATTTGACTTCGTGTGTCACCACGGAGGTCCGCGTTGGTAGTTTTTATACCCCTGAAAAGTTGCTGTTAACTCCCACTTCTGTTTTTTTGGTCTCTACCTTTAATATTAGAGGCTGACTTCTAGAATTTGGCCACTCTTGACTGCATTGCAGGTCTCAAAAAAACTTTGTGAAAGCTCCATGACTATGAATGGAGCTTATCATTGTGGGCTTAATTAGTAGCTTTCCCAAACTTGCAAACATATATTCAGACTCTGGGGCCCTGAGTTCTATCTCCAGGAGAAACTGATAGCTGCATCAGTTCTTTCCTTTTCATTTTAAACTTTAATTGCAAAATATCACATGATGAACAAGGTCATAAGAACATTAATGTATAATTTAATATGAAATCATATAAAGTGAACACCCAAAAACCTCCAGACCAAGAAAAAGATCATTTTCAGTAACTCCAAATTCCTAAGAATAAGTAGTAGCAAGCTACATTAATATTTAAATGATTTGCATCTTGTCCCGAGAATAGCTGATAAAAATGGAGCTCAGTCTGCACTCAACATTATTTATATCTTCCATGCTACACTCTCAGAGGAAACTATTCTCCTGAATTCTCTGAGGATAATGTTTTTATTTTTCCTTATATTTTTTACACTTATTTATGCATTCTTTTTTTTTTTTTAAGATTTATTTATTTATACAAGAACCGGGGTATAGACCAGATGAGCAGGAGGGTGAAAGATTTCACCAGAGACAGAGTGGGGAACAGAACAGGCAGACTGAAGAAATACACTGCTGAGGGGAGCAGCGGGTGCAACAGGAGAGGTCTGCTGCCCCATGTGGGACCCTTCCCGGCCGGCAGGGATCCAACTGGAGCTGCAGAGGCTGCAGACAGCTTCACAGCGCAGCGCTCAACCACCTGAGCCACCAGGGGAGGCCCTATTTATGCATTCTTAAATAAAACAACACAATATATCCCTTACTGTCTGAACAAAAAATGTTCTTGAAAACATTGTGAATCATACATTTCTAGATAGAGGGAACCTGTATGTCATTATTTTAAATGGGGAATAATTTCATTATTTTAGATGGGGAATAATTTCATTATTTTATGCTGCCATTTAGTCTCCAGCCGATTTTCCTCCCAATCATCAATACACTCAAATACTTAAATAACAATCCACAAGGGATTTCTGTATAACGCCAAACATTTTAAAACATTTATTTAAAAGTCAGGGTAGGGCCTCCCTGGTGGCGCAGCGGTTGAGCGCTGGGTTGCGAGGCTGCCCGCAGCCTCTGCAGCTCCGGTTCGATCCCTGGCTGCTCCCCGGCCACAGGAGGAGGGTCCCGCATGGCGCGCAGACCTCTCCTGCCGCCCGCTGCTCCCCTCAGCGGTGTATTTCATCACTCTGCCTGTTCTGCTCTCCGCTCTGGCTTTGGTGAATTCTCTCACCCTCCCGCGCTTCTGACTGTACCCAGTGCTTGTATAAATAAATAAATAAATAAACAAATGAATAAATCTTTAAAAAAAAAAAAAAAAAGTCAGGGTAAATATTTGTGTGCTATGCACAAGAGTACTGCCCAGAATAAGGCGGTGCTAGTCAGAGTATTGGTCTGCAAATTGTTAGTGGTCCATGAAGAGATACAGAAATTATGCCAGAATGCAAAACATTTTTAAACTTTAAGCTTAGTTTAGTGAACTCTTCAGGAGCAAGATTCTCATATCATCACAGATAAAGAACAAATAGTTTTTGGAGTGGTGTTGGTCCACATTTTGAATAGCATGCTTGTTTAGGATAGGAATTATGCTTTCCTTCTGTACTATGACAAACATGTACTTTAAGAAAAATTAAAAAATGACTATATAATGTGCATTAATAAAGATACTAAAAGACATTTAAATTAGATAGGCTCACAATGCTCTGAGAAGTCTGAGGTAAGGAATGCTGAGATTTATGAAGAGCCATTCATGAAGAATGGAGTGAAACATAGAACAACAATATAATTTATAATCCCAACTATCCTCATTTTTGAGAGTGAAGAAGGTGCCAACAATAATTATGACAGGATAACAGGCATCAACTAGGTTGTCCTATACAAATGGAACATACAGTCACCTTAGGCTAAACCCCTAAGCACAGAGCGAAAAATGATGAGCAGAGGTTAATTAATACAAAGCAGTGTTTGAACAACACCAGCAAGACCTCAGTCATGGCTAGAGAAGGGGCAACTTCTGACTACAGTTCACTCTGCACTCTGTGACATACCACCTGCACACATACAGATGCGGTGAAGGAAGGTTTGTGATTTGGATGTGACTTGAATGTGGGGTAGATTCCCACAATTTGTTATAGGAAATATTTGTGAGGCTTTAGATCGTAAGGGATACCTGAGGATTAGCTTTGAAGTTTTCATGAAAGGAAACATACTACAACTATAAGTATTCTTTGATCATGGCATGCCAGATATCCCACACAATGGTGCTAATCTATAGTTAGCTTAAGGGTCACCTCTGGGGCCTCCCCTGGTGGCACAGGCACAGGCACAGCACTGTGAAGCTGTCTGTAGCCTCTGCAGCGCTGGTTTGATTCTGGCCGGCAGGTGAGGATCCCACATGGCGCGGCAGACCTCTCCTGTCTCACCCACTGCACCCCTCAGCAGTGTATTTCGTCAGTCCGCCTGTTCTGTTCTTCGCTCTGTCTCTGGTGAATCCTCTCACCCTCCCATGCATCTAGTCTATACCCTGGTTCTTGTATAAATCAATCAATCAATCTTTAAAAAAAAAAAAAAAGAGTCACCTCTCTGGGCAGGGTAGAGGAATGAGATCTTTTAGTTACCAGTGTCCTGGCTTCAATATTTTTGGTAGTCATTTTGAGACTAACAGCTATCTTCTATGGAATATGCTAGGTCTATCATAAGATGAGATTTGTTTTCTCTGGAGAAAAAAGGGAACTTAAAGTAGATGGGAAGGGAGTTTGATCACAGATGTCCTCTCATTCACAGGGCACCATGGGATAGGGAACCTTTGGTTAACAGGTGATGTGATGGAACATATTTTAGGGAAAAAGCTGTAGCATCCTGGATGCACCTGGAATGAGAGAACAGTTTCTCTTATCTTTACTGCTTAAAGGCTGGGAAAAGGTAAGATGGGACAGAAGGGTAAACATTTTGTAGGAGCCCTTAGTGGCTTGTGCCTGGTGATTGATAAATGGTATTTTCCTGGATGGTAGAGGAGAAAGGAGTAAGGAAGGGGAGGTGAACATTTTCAGGGCTATTGTAAGGAATAAATGTGATACACATGTATCTCGTACATTCAGTCAGACTGAATTAACAACTAGATACTCTTTGATCACCACCTAAGATACACCTAGAGAGAGTTAAAAACAATAAAATCATAAACATTCCCATTTTCCCATCAGGAAGAAGAATTAGTATTTCTTAAACATGTTCGGTACTAAGTACTTGGCATATTTTCTCACGTATTCTACATGATCACCTTTATCACTCGACTTCATAACAGAACACCATCTTCCTTCAAAGTAAAATGTAAAAAGCCTTTCTTGCCATTTTAGATGGGATGCGCCCCTTACCGCTGCTGAGAGAATCTGCATTCCCAGGGCTGTGCTGCCTGGAGACCAGCTCACTCCCCGTCTTCCTCATGTCTGTGTTTTCATTATAGCGCCTTTTCCAGTAGTTAAGTTCTTCACGATCAGATTCCTGACAGCGCCGCAGAACTGCCATGGAGCGCCTTGTCTTCTCTACCATTTCCATAATGCAGTTCAGGGCCTGAGCCAGAGGGTAAGCCAGGCAGAGACGAGACAAGGACATTCAAAGCAACCAAATCCGAACATCAAGAACAGGTGAACAAAATATGAAGAATGCTCAAGTATTTTATAGGGTTAGTAATATCAAGTTTACATCTGAAAGCCCTTCTTACTATTTCTTTTCAAATATACACACATAATTTATTTGTTTTTCTATTTAAAAAAAATAATACTTTTTATAGATTGAGGCTGAAGCAGTCAGTCTCATTTTAATATGGTCCTTTAAATACTATGATGAGGGCCTCCCCAGTGGTGCAGCAGTTAAGCGCTGGGTTGCGAAGCTGCCCGCAGCCTCTGCAGCACCAGTTGGATCCCCGGCCGCTCTCCGGCCACCGGAAGAGGGTCCCACATGGCGCGCAGACCCCTCCTGCCGCCCTCTGCTCCCCTCAGCAATGTACTTCGGTCCTTCTGCCTGCTCTGCTCCCCGCTCTGGCTCTGGTGAATTCTCTCACCCTCCCACGCTTCTGACTGTACCCAGTGCTTGTATGCATAAATAAATAAATATTAAAAAAAAAAAAAAAGTAAATACTATGATGAAATCACGTGCTCTCTCTACCTAAATATACCAAATCATCCAATGAAGCTGGAGATTTGCATAAGAATATAACCAAAGAAATATTGTCCAGTGATAAGATCTCTCACGAAGGAAAAACTACCTCACAGAGATACTACATCTTCTCTTCCCTTTTTAGTGATAAGGGAAATTCTTCCGATGGGAAAGAGCTTGGGCTTCCACTCTGTACTAGTATACTAATTTTCATTTGTATTTGGAGAAGTTCCATTTATTTAACACAATCCTATATATATTGTGTCTTGGATAATATATTTATCACTCCTCTGGTGTATTCACAAAAGGCTAAAAAAGGTGAAGCAAGGTAGAGAAAGTGGTACCTGAACTCACAGGCCTACATTTTTAACCATTACACTCTATGATTCTGCTTGGCTGTGACCTGAAGTGATCACCCTACCACAAAGATTTGGGAGAGACTCTTTAGTTCTCTGACTGGAGGAGTATCAGGTAAATCAGCTTTTACTGTAAAGATGTTATGGCTCTAGGAATGTTTATTTCAAATATATATACTTCAATACTACTGGAAATATTAAGAATTAAAAGTTATAAATAGTTGAGAAATTATACATAAAATTCTTACATGATCAAGATGTTTCCATTCATCAGCCCATTCCCTTTCTGTCAAACGGTGGTCTACCAACTCATCTTGATAACCTCCATTTAGGCCTATTGGAAATGAGAAATTAATTGAAAGAATACAGTGGACTACAGTAGAACAGAATTCTACCAAGTGCACACACTGACATTCATACCAATTATGAGCACACTACTAAGGCAAAGATTCACAATGGCATGTAGGACTCACAAAATGGCAAAAAACCAACAAAGGATCACAATTCAGTATGTATTTAAAAAAATTCTTACAAATAAATTATAAAACATAAATAGTTCAAAAGAAACAGGCAAAAGAAATAAATAGGTAAGTCAGACAAAAATACAGGTGATTCATAAACATATGATATTAAAAATTATAAGTAGTCAGGCAGTACAAATAAAATCTTCACTAAGAAAGCAGTTCACAGCTATATATTGGGAAAAAAAAAGTCAGTAACACTAAGTGTTGGCAAGGATGTGGCAAAATGAGAATGCCTAGCCACCAAAAGAAGAGTGAACAATGGTATGAGCATTTGGAAACAACTTATTACCAAAACATTTTTTTTGCATATATAATGAAATTTGCAGGAACATAACAACTGTAAATCAAGGGCATACAGAATTAGGTTATCTATCACTTTGAAAAATCATGTCATACATGAAAACACTGTTCATGGCATTTGAATCATTAATATAAAACCTGTTATTTCCTGAATTGGTGTTTCATTCATAATGATTCCATATCTGTACCAGCAACTGCCTATTTTGTTATATCTTCTAGTGTAACCATGCCTGAACACTACACACCTTATTATAAAATAGTTTCTTATATATTATAGCTTAGAATACTGCTCCTAAACTTATGACTATTTAAGATAGGTTACAGCAGCTATAAATTTCATTTTGGAGACTAAAGGGGGTTATTGTGTTTAGTAAGAGGGGGTGGAGGAATGAATGAACGGCTTGGTAAGAATTGAAAACTATATTAGGGTATAGGTTTTTTAAAAGAGGACTGGAAAAAAATAAGGAAAACATAACCAGCCTGCAAGACAAATAGTTAAACCTAAATCATCAAATTAGGACCAAAGGTCTTCCAAGTACACCTCAAGATGAAAAAAAGTTTTTTCTAAAATTGTAGGAAAACCTGACAAAATTACCGACATAGTTTTTAAGCACACTTTTCTCTCAGAAATTCAGATAAGCGGACCAAAAAAAATTGTATATGAATATAGAAGAAACCACTGGCAAGTCTAGTTATTAACAGATAAAAAGAAACACAGAGGGAATAGGAACTGTATCATGTAGAATAGCTTCTAAGGGAGGCGCCATACTGGCGATGCATTCAGACAGCTAGGTCTGAATCTTGTCTCTGCCACTCTGCTACTATGTGATTTTTGGCCATAGTTCCTTCATCTTTTATATGTAAAAAGGGGATAACAACTGTATGGGTCTGCTGTGAGGATGAAATGAGACAATGTGAGTATAGCACAATCTCAGTAGTGTACATCACAATCTAAGACTCAGTAAATAGAACCAAGTGAGAACCACTGCTGTCGTGGCCTTCACCATTCAGCTACCACCATATGAAGCCAGGGCATTATTATGGTCCAAACTGCTGAAAGATCTGAAAGATCTAAGTCAGAGGGACATGGGCAAGTAAATGTGTTACTATCTTTTACTCCACAAGTTATTTCATAAGTGGGAATGTGGTTTGGGAAAAACCTGGAACCTAGTAGCTTTCTGGGTTTCGACTCTGACACATGCTCTGCAGTTGAACTCCAAGGGACCTTCTAAGTCAACTTGTATGAGCCCATAACAAATAGCTCTGTCCAAAAGCCGATATTGGGTGAGATGTGTTAGGGGACTTTTTGGTTTCTTCCTAAATTTAATGGTTATTTAGGATGAATGTACCAGGCATTCTAAATGTGACGATGGTGGTGGCATCTCCATTTTAGAAGTAATCTGTAGCTCAGAGAGTCTAAGCAACTTGCATAGTATCACAAAGCTACTGAGGATGTGTAACAAAAATTTAAGTTTAGATACACATCCACGCACTTTCACAGTAAAGACCACATATTTCACATCTTCATTATTAAAAAGATATTTTATTCTGAAATAAATCCAGAATTACGAAAAGTTACAAGGATATACAAAGAATTCTCATATACCCTTCACCTAGATTTCCTAAATGTTAATATTTTACCCCATTTGCTTTATCATTCTATTTTTTCCTAAACATTTGAGAATACATGGTAACCATTTACTCTAAAATATTTCCTAAAATTTGTTTAATCCTAGTTATACTATAGCAACAAACTATGAAGTGAGGTCAGCTGAGATCAACAAAACCTCTAATTTTTTATGTGTTATATTGTTTTATCTTATCAATGGTAAAAAGCAATATTATTTTACTTTATCTTTGAGTAAGAAAGGAACCCAAGGACTCAATCTGAATTTAAGCCATTACCATGTTGCTTTGGTCACTTACTAAGATTGTGGTGTCTATCACGAACTTCTCGATGTTCTAGCATCTTGCTGGGTTCACGATACAGGTGGGAAGTTGCAATATCTTCTAAGGTGTAGTGTTGAAGAGGTGGAGGAGTAGGATGGAATTGGCCCCCAGGATTCATGAGTGGTACAGTGAGGGCAGGACTGTGCCGGGGAGCAGGGCTGATGGTACATACTCTCTTGGCTGGGGGCTCAGGAGGAATTGCATCTCTTTCAAAACCACTCTCTTCCCTCCTGCAGAAAAACCAGAACATATTTGAATCTTTCAACAAGTGTTCAAGCAAACATTTTCTGAACGCCTACTTTGTGCTACGCACTTTTACAAACAGGAACACTAAGAAAAGATATGAATGAGGCAAATACTGAGTCTGGGTGTCAGTTGGGTAATGAAAATTGCTGACTTATTCTAGCATAAAAAGAGAGGTCAAATCATCCATAAGCAGACAGCAATATATATGCCTTATGAAGCAAAGAAGAGGCTAAGGAGTTAGCCTTAGCTTTCTAATGTGATAGGAATATGGAGGGTTATAGGTGCAACTATGTTTAGGAATGCCTTTAAGTCAAATTTACTATGTAAATAGTAAATAACAATTTACAGTTATTTGAAACAATTCTCTGCACAGAGAAAAAAAGACTCACATAATTAATGCATATGTGAGCTGGCAAGGTTTTCACTCATTAGCTTCAATTGTGACAGATTTTCCACTGTTAAAATATTGATCCTTTGACAAACCATAGAATATGGTGGTAGTCACTCATACTGAAATTTCCAGAATGAATTAATATAATTTCAAACTTCTTGGTAAAGGTGTTTCATCAATAATTATCAATAATTAATTGTTATACATCTTTTTATAAGATTTCCCAAACCATAAAAAATAGCTCATGCATATTGTACTTCTTATGGTTCTGGAGCAAGGGACCCTCTGGAGCAGTTTATCATCAGGTGTCCACAATGTTGAAAATGGTCATGTTTGGGAGCTTCTCCTATAGGTTTGAGATTTACTCTGTTGCCTGATGTTGCACCAAAGCAAATTCTGAGACCATACCTATCTATAACTACAGAAATAAAAATCTTTTCTTTCACAAGGTAAGCTGCACTCCGGGTGGTTCCAGAAAAGCCAAGGCAACAAAGTTCTTTCTACTTACCTCTCTGGACTGGGCCTCTTGCCATTTCCATGCACTTCCATGAGAAGCTCAGAAGAGTCAGCAGGTGAAGCAATACTTGTGTTGAGCAGAAGGTGCTCATGCTGTGCCAGGTACTGGGATGGGGTCTGCTTGGCGGCACGAGCACAGTGCAGCAGTTCTCGCTGCAGCAGGGGCAGGTTGGCCTTGAAAAAAAGAGGCAGGGACTGAAAGCAGTTTCCTTATTGTTGGGCTTACATGATAGGGTTCAGCACTAAAATGGCTTTCAAAAAACTTATAACACAGACAACAATCCTTCTCTCCTTGTCAGCCTGATCCTCATATGCCTCTCGATGAGTAAAGTTGCATCTCTTACACTGAATTTGAATTATTGATTTACTTGTGAGAGGAAAGGGACTGTGCTTTGTTTACTTTTGTGGCCTAGTACAGAAACAAAACTCTGTAAAGGTTTGTTGAACATAGTAAATTAAAAACTTAAAACATTTTTGAATTCTTAGATCAGTTAGAGAGTTGATACTGAAGTCACTCTTCATCATTATAAGATTTGGTTTCTTCTGAATCCCAACCCATATCTAACAGCATACTGTTCAACCATCCCTCATGTTCTCTGTGACAGCTGCCATGACATTCTGGAAATGGTGATTATTATGGCTTGGCTGGAAAATGGGATTTTGAAAGAAATATTGGGGTTGATGGGAGAGAAGGCAATAAGACACTTATTAGGCTGTGAGGCTTATATGAACAATGCCCAAACTCAGGTGCTACACTGTGTCCCAGTTGGGATGTTTCCTTATTTTGCAAAAGGCGAAATAATTTTGTACTGATTATTTTCCCTTCTCCTCAAATAAAAAACCTTTAATGAGGACACATCATATAAAACCTAATACAACTTTAAATTTAACTCTAACTCCATCAGGAGTTACTTTTCCTGTATTCCTCTAATAAGAATCTATTTTTCTCCCCTAATTTAAAAGGAAATCAGGCTGAGGTCATAATAGAAGCCTTTATGCCAAGGGAAACAGATGAGCAAGTGAGAGTTTTAGTACATGCAAGTAGTCATCCTTTCACCAAGGGTTAACTTAGCAGGCACCATAATTAGTGACTGTTTTAAAGCAGAAATAAATTGACAAAACCCAAATGCTAGCCAAAAAGCTGCCATAACAACCCACCTCATGCTGTTTTCCAAAATAACAGTGTTAGAATAGGGAATTTGATGGTATAAAACACTTTTTAAGTCTGTTTATAACCTCCATCTTGTCGCAACTATAAAAGCTTAGTTGGAAAAAAACACCAAGTCATATCTTTACATTTGTGCTATATACTCTTTGAGGAATTTTTTAAAATGCAAATTATTTCCTCTTAACACAAATTTCATAATCTTTTTTGACTTCCAGAATCTCAGGGGAAATAACTGTCTCATAGTTTTGATATACAGAAGAGAGACCAAGATAGACGCAGAATAGCTGTTTCAGGGTTGAAAAAGATGCCCAGACTGGTCTGAGTGGCCAAGGCTTCAATGCGATCAGAAGAGCCACCAACAGGCCATGCGCCTGAGACCCAGGTGTTTTCCTGTATGTCTAATTGTAAAAGCTACCCCAAAAATCTTGTATTAGCACATCAGTAAAATGACCCACCTTTTTGCTGCTATTACATTTTCTTAGGAAATGAAGTTAAAGGGGCATATTTATTTGGTCAACTATTTTAGGCTGTGTGAGTCAAGAGGTAAAACTGAAGATATTATTTGAGTATGCATACAAAAGAGAAAACTAATTTCCACAAATACTGTATTGACAAAAGTATTGATAAAAATGATTCAGTACAGTTTTCTCATTCATTCATTCATTCACACATGCAATATCTGTCCACTACTAATAAAAAGAATGGCATTATGAAGGAGAAGTTGAAGGTAACATTTAGCTTAACTACGTACGGCTCAAAGTTAAGTGTTCCCCATTGTCAAACTGACTGCAAATGTTCACAGAGTGTAAAAATGTTTTTTTTTTTTTAAAAACATTCTTTTAAAGGCATTGATTTTAGTATTCTCCAAGATGCTACAAAAACATGTGGTAGGCTGGCTTGGGTCAGTTTTGCAAACTGCTTGATCTAGAGCACACTGGTACCTGACACTAAGCTTTCATGGTCTTTGAGTTATTTTACAATTCTGTAAGTTACATATGTCTGATAGAAATGCAAAATAATGGTCTACGGACATGCATAAAATTACGTTCAGTTGGGGTTCAATTTGATTTCCCCTGTCCAATGTAGACTGTCAATTTTACTTCTGTTTACACATTCATATCAATAATTTTTTTTTAAAGATTTATTTATTTATTTATACAAGAGCTGGGGTACAGGCCAGATGCGTGGGAGGGTGAGAGGGTTCACTAGAGACAGAATGGGGAACAGAACAGGCAGACTGATGAAATACACTGCTGAGGGGAGCAGTGGGCGAGACGGGAGAGGTCTGCCGCACCATGTGGGACCCTCGCCGTCTGGCTGGGATCTAACTGGCACTGCAGAGGATGCGGACAGCTTCACAGCGCTGCGCTCAACCACCTCTGCCACCAGGGGAGGCCCCATATCAATAATCTTAAACATAAATTTGCTTGTTTTTTAGATTCTCCCTGAACTGCTATAAAACCTTACACTGAATCTCCACTTAAGCATGAGTTAAACAGAATGTTTACTTTTTATCTGTATGAGTCATATACTTGTTTCTGAATTTAATAGAAAAAAACGGTAACTTTATAGTGGGAGAGCATTCTGGACACCACTTTTTCCAAGTGATCAAAGAAAATGTCACCAATTAGCAGACAAATTAGCATCTCTATGTCCTGATAGCATGTAATGATACCACTTGCTTGATATTCCTGCCTAAAATGCACAAACTGTTTCTGATCATTGGAACTACCAGAAAACACAAATTGAGGTTGTCTGTAAAATAACTGTCCTGTACTCTTCAAAAACGTCAAGACCATAAAAGGCTGAGAAGCTGTTGCTGATTAAAATGTACTAAAAAGACATTACATGAAATGTAAGAAATTACCATGAATTAGTTCAGGACCAAAAAAACAAAACAGAACAAAACAAATACCACCACTTTTTCTTTTGCTGTAAAGGACACTAGTGGGACATGAATAAGATTTATTATTCATGTTGTACAAATGTTCATTTCTCGACTAGATAACGTATTAGATAAAGTATTCAGATATATCATGCCTGCATCTTGCTCTCAAGTATTTCTGAGGCAAAAAGAGTCTAATGATGTAGACGGGATGAAATGAATATATAAAAATCTGAGGAAAAGACACAGAAATTTTATTGTATGCTTTGCAACTTTTCTGTAAGCATACAATTATTTCAAAATAAAGCTTTCTAGGGCCTCCCTGGTGGCGCAAGGGGTTAAGACGCAACCTATGAAGTGATCTGCAACCACTGCAGCATGAGTTCAATCCCCGGCCAGGGAGCAACCCACACGGTTCAGCAGACCTCTCCTGACTCCCTCCCTGCTCCCCTCAGCTGTGCTTTCGGTCTGCCTGCCTGTTCTGTTCCCCACTCTGTCTCTGGTGAATCCTCTCACCGTCCACACCTCTGGCCTATACCCCAGTTCTTGCATGACTAAATAAATAAATCTTTAAAAAAAAAAAAAACAACAAAAAAACAAAATAAAGCTTTCTAAAGAGGACATATACCACATAAATCTAACACTGTCTTATCAGGTAAGTACAATAATATTGAACAGTGCCCCTAAAAGTTATTTTCCAGGGAACACTAATTTCAGAAGAATAAATAGAAGCTAACTAACACTGACACAAACATTGCCTTCTCACAGGTTCTCCTGTTCTTAGGGTATTTCTAGACTTCAGAGGTTCTCCTCAGATTTAACATATACTCTTCACACTCTGGTGGCACCCAAAAGATTTAGAGATTTCCTGACAAGAGCCTGCCTCCATACCACCCCCTTTCCTTCTTACCCACTCACCTCCTGCTCCCCTCCTCTATCTGCTTTTTCTGTGAGTTACTAGCAATGTCTGTAACACAAGTGACAACTCAAGGTTTTTATAAATCTCATCTCAAGATTATCTGCAGACTGTACTCATATTGTTCTTCCAACCCATAATAAAAGATAAGAAAATATGGGGCACTGTCCTGAGATCACAGAATAGGGAGAGGTAGCAGATCTTGAGGAAATGTTGAAGATAAAGTACATTTAGTAGTTACTCATAAAAATTACCTTGAGGAATGGAATCACAAAAGGACGAAGAGGAAAATTTGTAGCTTCCTGGAGCTTACAATGGAATTCTTCAATTGTTACTGTTGAATTCTGAAAAGAAAAAAAAAGTAGTTCAATTTCTAAAGCTTGACAATGTCCTCCTAATATAAATGGTAGGTCTGATTCCTTTTAAGCCAAAAGGAAAAGGACAATTCCAAGAACATTACTGTATTTGAACTCCTCTTAAAGTTTAACCGGATTCTCTTTCCTTTATGAAACAGATAAGGCCTCCTTGATTTTTCCTTTTACTCTAAAACTAAATTTTCCTGTATGCTCAGGAGACAGGGGTGCAGAGAAGGGCAATGTCTTCCTCACTTCCTCAGCACTTGTACTGAGGTCCCTTGTATTGATGGGTTCATCGCAAGGTACCTCAGGTACAAGAAACCTAGTTGACAATGTTTCCAGTTGAACAGATCCCCATCAGTGTAAGAAGTCAACTTACAGACTCAATAACCCAGTAATTTCATTTATTCAGAAATTCATTTCTTCATAGGTTCTGCCTACATCCTAGTATCAATTCTCCAAATCTTCCAAAACAAAGGTTAAAAAAACCATCAGGGGCCTTCTACCTTCACAAGGTCTCTGCATATCAGAGCACCTTCAAATAGGCAAACTCCTAAGATTTTAGTAGTCTTAGGAAAGTTATCAATTAGCATTTTCCCTATAGTTTTTCAAATCTGGCTTTAAAATGGGATTCTCAGTCATTCTCCTTAGGAGAATGTACAAATACAAATATTTTCCTCAAAATTTACAAGATACTTTTATTTCAATTCCTTAAAACAGAATATTAAATAACAAGTAAAAAAAAAAAAAAAAACCACAATAACTGGGCATTAATCTGAATTTTTGTTCCCCTGAAAGAAAAATGATCACTTCTTGGAATTGATTTTGACAAAACCGTCAATTTTTCAAAGACGTAATATGTACTGTATGGTAATTTATTTAATTATTCATCAGCACAATGTTGCATTTAACAGTAAAAAAAAATAGAAAATATATAGGTTCACAAACAGGAAACTGCATTAAAAATTACAACACAGTCATGCATGAGAATACTTATAGGGGGCAGATTTATTGCATCTATTAGTGAGGAAAGGTGTCTATAATACACTGTTAAGGGAAAAACGAGGAAAAAGGGTGTTTTCCACTAATCCATTCATGAAAATAACACACACACATTTATATAGTACTGTAAATGTCCAGAAAGACAATTACAACAGCTATTATTTCTGGATGTGAAATTTTATTGGATTTTCCAAATACATATTCTCAGGAAGCACAGTCACTTAGAGAGATGATTGGATATAACTACATAAACTTTCACAAGCAGGAAAGGATTCACCTTTTTTTAAATTTTGCAAATGAGCTTCTGCTTCTGTCATTTTTTTCTTTTACTCTTCAAATTATCTTTAAGCACAGGCTCAACGTAAATTTGCTGCTAGAACTGGTGTAACATTCTGCTATCTACTTTGCTTTGAAACTCATTTGACATTTCAGGGTCAATTTTATTAGTCTAAAGTTTATTAGTAATATTTATCTGCAACAATCTAAAAATGTGACCAAAAATGCTTTCTCCCCCCAACAAAATCAAAAACACTTCTCTCAATGGTAAGGGTAGCTCACAGTGCCTAAATTATTTTTGCAAACAATATAGTTGATGCTGTACACTATATTGTACTTATGGGAAGGTGAATTTAAGTAGGTGTTAGGCACAGTCCCTATGTGTACCAGACAGACATTGGACATTGAGTCTCTAACAGGAGTCTTTGGGTAGAAACATGGCACATGTAGCTGCATTTTCATTGCTGGGGGAAGAGTATATTCTATATGATCATTCAGATGAGGAAAAGAGCATAAGTTTGCACATGGATTTCTCCAGATTCTAGCTATGTTTCTCTCTTTAACATCCAGTTGTGTATCTTTATTATTTCTCTGTTATGAATCTTAGCTGTGAGCACAATTATATGCTAAGTTCTGTGAATTCTTCTAGCAAATTTTAGCATAATAAAGTGGTGTAGGGGACCTATCACACTGCCTCAGAATGTCAACAATTCAAATGTCTGTCAAGAACAGAAAGTGTAATTATGGTATTCCTACAACAAAATACTATATAACAACAAAACTGAACAATCTGAAACTACACAAACAATAGGAATTAAATCTCAAATAATGAAAAAGTCATTGATTGTATTTTATCTTATATAAAAGTTGTTTCTTCCATACTATACTAAAATTTTTGTAGGTGGCAGTTCCTAAACTTTTTATTTATTTATTTTTTTTAATTTTTTTTTTTTTTTTAATAGAGGCATGTTTTATTTATTTATTTATTTATTTGTTTTGTTTGTTTGTTTATACATGCACTGGGTACAGTCAGAAGCACGGGAGGGCGAGAGCAGAGCAGGCAGAAGGACCGAAGTACACTGCTGAGGGGAGCAGTGGGCGGCAGGAGAGGTCTGCGCGCCATGTGGGACCCTCCTCCTGTGGCCGGGGAGCAGCCAGGGATCGAACCGGCGCCGCAGAGGCTGCGGGCAGCTTCGCAACCCAGCGCTCAACCGCTGCGCCACGGGGGAGGCCAGTTCCTAAACTTTTTAGTCTCAGGATCCTTTTAATTTACATGGATTATATCTAGTCATATTATTATATAAATATTATATATTCATATTATACTATATCATATATTAAATATTGTATATAAATATTGTATATAAAGGATATTACCTATACCAACTATTTATATATTAAGATAACTATATATTAATATTTATACATCAATATATACTATAATATTAAATATTATATAAATTTTTATAGTCACCATATCAGAAATTAAAACTTAGAATTAAAAAAAAAATTCATTATTAACCCATTTCAAAATACCCAATGACATGTTAATTTTTTTTAGTGAAAACATTTCTTAAAGTATGAGAAGAAGAGTGGTATTATGTTAGTTTTGCAAATTTCTTTAATAGTTAGCTTAAAAGACAAAAAGGCCTCCCCGGTGGCGCAGCGGTTGAGCGCTGGGTTGTGAAGCTGCCCGCAGCCTCTGCAGCAATGGTTCGATCCCCGGCTGCTCCTGGCCACCGGAGGAGGGTCCCACATGGTGCGCAGACCTCTCCTGCTGCCCGCCCGCTGCTCCCCTCAGCAGTGTACTTTGGTCCTTCTGCCTGCTCTGCTCCCCGCTCTGGTGAATTCTCTCACCCTCCCGTGCTTCTGACTGTACCCAATGCTTGTATAAATAAATAAATAAATCTTAAAAAAAAAAAAAAAAGACAAATAGATTCTTAGTTATCTGCTTTTTCATTTAATCTGTTGCTACAACAGAGCTAGCCTCTGTTGATCTGATCACATAGCCTCTAGAAAATGCTACTATACATTCTTGAGAGGAAAATAGTAAGTAATACTTTAGTATTATGAAAATAGTTTTGATATTTTGTACCTCCTGAAAGCGTTGTAGGGAATCCCAGGGGTCTTTGATTACACTTTGAGAACTGCAATATTAAGATTTGGTACTTCCAGTCAATTTTTTTTTTTTCCCAAATCACATAAAGAGGATAATCATGGGGTGCTTTTACTGGAGGTGAATCTTTTTTTTTTTTTTTTTTTTTTTAAAAGATTTATTTATTTATTTATTTATTTATACAAGCACTGGGTACAGTCAGAAGCGTGGGAGGGTGAGAGAATTCACCAGAGCCAGAGCGGGGAGCAGAGCAGGCAGAAGGACCGAAGTACACTGCTGAGGGGAGCAGCGGGTGGCAGGAAGAGGTCTGCGCGCCATGTGGGACCCTCCTCTGGTGGCCAGGGAGCAGCCAGGGATCGAACCGGCGCTGCAGAGGCTGTGGGCAGCTTCGCAACCCAGCGCTCAACCGCTGCGCCACCGGGGAGGCCTGGAGGTGAATCTTAAAGAATTTTATTTATAAACATTGGGAACATACAGAACTTGACTTAAACACTAAGAGTCAAACCACACCCAGTTGTCAATGTGAGAAAATCACTCCCTTATGCCACAGGCTCATCACACTCCATAAAGAAAGAAAAATGATGGGTATGTTGAAAATTCTAAGAAAATTGTATTTGCACAAGGAGCTGAAGAATATAATCCCTTTAATACTATTTATTTAAACCACAAAACTAATAATTTTATGTTATTATTTTCAAAATTAAACTGACTACTCTTTTCTCTCTGGTTTGGAAACAAGGCACCAGGTACTGAATATATTAAGCAAACCAAAACCTGTGTTATGGATGAACCATAGTGGGCCCAGTGAAATCCAGTTATAAGAAAAATTAAAAGCTGCTCATTGGAATTAAATCAACACCATAAGAAACAATAAGGTAACCATTACAGATTTTGTTTCTTTGCTAAACATGATTACCTATAACAAAAATCTGCAATTCAACAGTTTTATACAAGTCATATAAAACCACTATAGTTTGTTTTTTTTTTTTTTTTTTTTTAAAGATTTATTTATTTATTTATACAAGCACTGGGTACAGTTAGAAGCACGGGAGGGTGAGAGAATTCACCAGAGCCAGAGCGGGGAGCAGAACAGACAGACCGACGAAACACACCGCTGAGGGGAGCAGCGGGTGCGGCAGGAGAGGTCAGCGCGCCATGTGGGACCCTCACAGGTGGCCGGGGATCAAACCGGCGCTGCAGAGGCTGCTGGTAGCTTCGCAGCCCAGCGCTCAACCGCTGCACCACCAGGGGAGGCCCAAAAAAACCACTATAGTTTGTAGAATTTGCACATTTGGGTATGAGCAGAAATATCTACTTATCCCTTGGTTTCAGTTCCGAGCCACACGAGTAGTTGTCAACAGTGATGTTGTACTTACCACTAGTGCGAGAACAAGAGTCCGAACTTTCTCCCCAATCTCAGGTGAGATGTCATTGCCAAACTGTTGCAGAGTGGTGAGGAAGCGTTTCAACTTGCTAAGCTGCCGAGCACCACAAGTGGCTGGCAATTGTTGATTTGTTAGTGCAGATGATGTGGAAGAGGCAGGACCATTGCTGAATCTCTGTGGTGGCGATGGGGCGCCATTCAGAGTAGGAGGAGAATGGTTGATGCCATTGCTTACTAGAAGAAAGCCAAACAACAGACAAGAATCTTTGCTAGTTCTTCTTCTTTGCATTATCCTCCATTTATTCATTTTGTAAAGCACATGTTAAAAGAGAAAATAAGACATTGTTTCTACCCTCAATGATATTCATATAGTGAGACAGACTGTGAGATAAAAAAAATAACAGAATAAGACAGACATGCTAAGAGTACAAAGTAAAATTAATAAACAATGACCAAAAACTCAGACAAGTATAAAGTACTACCAAAGCACAGAGACGGGGCATTTAATTCAATAGGCAGATGGTCTGGCAGAATATATATTTCCATTCATGTCCATCTTTAATGTCACACCTCCTTCCCAATCTTAGGGTCCCAAAGAAGTCAATTAGAAGTAGCACGTGATCAAGACAACCAGAAAACAGTTCTGTTAATGTAAGAAATGTTTTTTCTAGGCTATACGTTTAATGACCTACTCCTGTAATAAAGTATATACCCGCCTGACCACTCAGCATATTCATGAGCATCAGTCAATTTCTCTCTGCCTAGGCAGTGTGAGAGTAATACTGCCAAATACTTGATTATTCAAAAAAATTTCTTCTCGATACCACACAGGACATTTTCATTCTATATTTCTGTTCATATTATAATACATGAGATTAATTAGTTTTCCTACATTCCCGGTCATTTTCCTGGTAGTTTTAATTTGGAACACAAGCTTAGAGCTAAATTCTTAGTGGCATTAAGTAAATCTCTCCTCCACTGAGACTGAAATAAAATTACCCAGTGCCTAAGTGTCAACAGATTTTCACTTAATCAAACCCAGTTTTGAAAATCTATATCTAAAACCATAATGAACAATTTAAGTCAAGATTTAAGACAAATCTGAAGAGTCCAGTCATTTAATCATTACTTAACATAGGAAACTGACATTTATTTACATTTTGCTTAATATCAATTCCTTAATCATGAAAAACCTTCCACTTTACTTCCTTCTTCCTCCAAGTCAGTCACAGTTGGGTCAACGACCACTGTTCTTTCTTATTGACTGACCCTTATTCAAATTTGATTTGCCCAACTCTTCATCCTCTATAGCTCAGTTATCACTTGTATTAAGAAGCATTCTGATAGACTGTATTGTTCCATGTTAAGGCAAACCTTAATAGATATAGTAACTCTTCTCTGTGCTGCCTATATAGATGTTTCCATTATTTTACTTATCAAATTATATTCACTTCTTTCTGTAACTGTGCATACCCACCCCCCAGGTGTTTATTTGTATTATGCATTTCTTGATGAAAACTACCTTATACATATGTGTATACTTTAATTAGCTAAAATTTATAATCTTCTATACTATATTTGTATGTGTGTACGTGTATGTGTATACATACACACAGGTTTCTTCTTCCATTAGCTAACGAAGTGTAAGTATTCAAGAAAATTGGGCCAAATGATTGACTACATAAAAGACTTTGTGGGGTGAGAAAGACAGTAGAGGTAAATTCTCTTTGGTATCTTTCATTAAAAACAATTACTAGGGCCTCCCCGGTGGTGCAGCGGTTGAGCGCTGGGTTGCGAAGTTGCCCGCAGCCTCTGCAGCGCTGGTTTGATCCCTGGCTGCTCCCTGGCCACTGGAGGAGGGTCCTGCATGGCGCGCAGACCTCTCCTGCCATCCGCTGCTCCCCTCAGCAGTGTACTTTGGTCCTTCTGCCTGTTCTGCTCCCAGCTCTGGCTCTGGTGAATTCTCTCACCCTCCCGCGCTTCCCACTGTACCCAGTGCTTGTATAAATAAATAAATCTTTAAAAAATAAAAAATAAATAAAAAAACAATTACTAAAGCTACTGGAAAGGAAAATTCAACACCAACCTCAGCAATACACAGTAGCTGCAAATGGTCTGCCATTTCTTTGTGTTCATAAAAGGTCAACTGCCATTGGAGAGCTGCCCTCTTTTGAAAGCTTTTTTTTTTTTTAAGGCTTTTAATCTGTTGGGATATCCAACTTCTTTTCATTCATTCTGGTTCCAGCTACTGCAGTTGCTTGTTACTCAATTTTATTTATTTAATTTTTTAAAAAAAGATTTATTTTTTACTTATGCATACAAGAACTGGGGTGTAGGCCAGAGATACAGAGGGGTGAGTTGATTCTCCAGAGACAGAGTGGGGAGCAGAACAGGTGGATCTACTGAAATACACTGCTGAGGGAAGGCTTAATGGCAGTCAGTCACTTAGATCCAAATATCAATTTGAACCACAAACCCAAATAATGAAGAGGTCTTACATGCTGTAGGAGTAAATGACACTGGCCTTGGTCCTCCAGGATTTATTGGTGGAAGGGGTGGCATGGTGGGAGGTGAGGATCTTGACTGTATCTTCACTTCCACAGGTGATCCAGGCATTGCTGGCACCCTTTTCTCAGGACCGACTGTAAAGAATAAAAGGAATGGAGATGAGAGTTTTCTATGACACAATAAAAACAGTGACAATAATTTGCAATGCCGACACATTTCACTAGAGAATTAAGAAATTAAGAAGATTCTTAGTATAATGGGTTGAATGGTGTTCCTCACACAGATGCCTATCTCTTAAACCTTAAATTAGGTTTCCTTACTTGGAAAAGGGTCTTTGAAGATTTAATTAAATAAAGAATCTTGAGGAAATCATTTTTATCTGGTTAGCTTTAAATCCACTATGAAGAGTGTCCTTACAAGAGGAGAGACCCATGACACAAATACAGAGGGAAGAACATAAACAGACAACCATAGTACACAAACAGAACACCAGGTGAATATGGAGGCAGGGTTGAAGTGAGGCTATCTATAAGCCAAGGAATACCAAGGATTGATTATCAGCAACCAAAGGAAAAACAGAAGCTAGGAGAAGGGTATGGAAAAGATTCTTCCTCTGAGGTCCTAAGAAGGAATCAATCCTATAATTCATTCATTCACTCAATCACTCATTTTGCTGATACCCAGTTTGTTTTTTTATGACAATCCCAGAAAGCTAAAACAAATTAAGGTATGACATGATCTTAAAGTTAACAATAAGGATAGGGGCCGAGAAAGGAAGAAACCTGGTTATAAATTCAGTTTATCCCAACTGCATTAATTCTTGACTTTGCCTTATAACTGAATCACATTAAGGGATGGGAGGAGCTAATGTGGGCCTATCTAGACTAGTACGCATCAACTGCATGGCATGGAAATGGAATCATAATCAGCTGTACACGAATTACTAGGAATGATAAAGTACTGTATATATTTTTTTTATGTTCAACTACTCCAAGTGAGAAAAAAGAAATGGAGTCAACATCACTGACATCAGTCATGTCATTTATGATGCACAGTGTCCAAAAAGATGTAAAGTACAGATAATTCTAAAGTAAGCACAGGCTACTTTACCCCCAGAGACAATGCATACAAGCAGTTATTTTACAAGTCTGGATAGCAATGAATTCTAGAACGAGAAATCAGAGAGATAAAAATGTCATGACATTAAAATTAAGTCTGAGCTGATTTGAACAAAACTTGATTTTGAGAAACAATATCTAAGAAGTTACTTTTCCACATTAAAAGGAACTTCCTGCCTAATTGGTTAATAAAAGGATCAGGACTAACATAATCACCATTAAATTGAGCTATGATCCTATTATTAGTATGAACTTTACTTTTTTAGTACCATATCTCCAATAACCACTGAGTTAAAGTACAAGAAATTGATACCAAAGGTTCAAATCAACGTTTTCTTTCAGTAAGATCATCTATAAACACAATACATACACGAGCATTCATGGTATTGGCAACTCGGTACATCTTTGTAAATTAATGGGGCACCTCCTAATGACAAAAATAACCCTAATATTAATTTTATATTTCAGCTGGCAGTGACATTTTGGGAAGAGATATTATGAATACAGAAAGTCAATCGAGGAAGCAATGCCCTTAAGTTACAAATCTCCTGATAAAAATGTGCAGTCACTGAAAGTCACATTTAATCTGTTGGGATATCATCTGCCAGCCCTTCCCATCTCTCTGTCCAGGACATTTTCTTTGTGAAATGGATGGTGATGGTTGTCCTGTCTGATTAGTGGACTAATGAGCTGGTGCATTTTGCCTTTTCCTTCCTGACAGTATTTTCTCGGTGCCCTTCAGTGAACAGTTGACATGTTTCCAGTTCTTCCATCTGGGACCCAGCTTTCTGGAGGGTGGGGGGAGACGGGAAGGAAGGAACTGACAGTTGTCTCACACAGTTATGTGTTGTGTATAGTGTGCAACAACCTAGAGGGAGCCTTTCTTCAAACCACCTGCCTTTACAGCAAGGGCGCCAAAGGCCTGAGGAGGGCTTAGCAGTGAAATGTGTTTTAACATTCATCACTTGGCAGAATAAAAAAACACAGAACAGCCCAAGTGCAGAACACTGAACTATATACCAACTGAAAGCTGAGATACTGGGCAAAACCAGTCATCAGAGTCCATTTACAGATTAAATCTACTCTTGTTCACTTCACTACTCACAAACCCACAACATGTCTCAAGCAATGCCATTTTCCAGTAGAGAAAGCATGGGTATGAAACTGAGACATTTGATGTGAGTAATCTTTCTGTAACCTACATGAATTTTATCAAATCACTGCACTTCTCTGGATCATGTTTTCAACAGATGTAAAATGAGAGATAAGATCTACTTGGCAGGAAAGATCTTAGGATTAGAGATAATGCCTGGACTAGTACTAGGTATAAAGAAGATGCTTGATAAACAGTAATAAAGATCAGAGAACAGGAAATCTGGTGTTAAGTTCAAGATTTACCACTTAACTAAGCCATGTGACCACATCCAAACTAATATTAGCAATGCTTTCCCATGAAAATGGGTCTATTGGGCCTCCCCTGGTGGTGCAGCAGTTGAGCACTGGGCTGCGAAGCTGCCTGCAGCCTCTGCAGTGCCGGTTCGATCCCTGGCTGCCAGCGAGGGTCCCACATGGCGTGACAGACCTCTTCTGCCGCACCCGCTGCTCCCCTCAGCAGTGTATTTCTTCGTCAGTCTGCCTGTTCTGTTCCCGCTCTGGCTCTGGTGAATTCTCTCACCCTCCCGCGCTTCTGGCTGTACCCAGTGCTTGTATAAATAAATAAATAAATAAATAAATAAATCTTAAAAAACAAAAACAAAAAAAACCCCCCAAAATTTAGAAAGAAAATGGGTCTATTATGAAGTTTACAATTCACCTAAATTGAGAGAGATTGCATAGAATGATCCAAGAATTAACAACTTGCAAAAGCACCAAGTTCAATGTAAGGTAGTAATTTTGTTGAAGGCTGAGTGGCTGAATATACTTCATGTATGAGAGATCTAACCAAATCGCTTATAAACTTGGTAAGTTCAAGCAGTTGCTCAGACAATGGATAAGGGGTATGTTTCAAAGTAGCCACCTAACATTCTGCTTAGTGTCTGTGACATACCTTTATGGCATCATGTTAGGATGACTTCATTTCTGAATCTTTGTGAAACTGGTGTTCATGCTTTATATTCCAACTGGATCCTTTGAAAGAAACAACCAAATCTTAAGCTCTTTTCAATTCCAGAGAACTTAAAGAAAGTTCAAGGAGAAGAAATTCCTTTCTCTCAAGGACTAGTTGAGTCCATAAACACTATCACTAGGACAAAGCACTATTGTTTGGACAAAGTATTCAGTCCGAGAAAATAAAAATAACCTTTACTTTTGTTTAGAACCTAATCCAGTGATTCTGATTTGTAGTTAGCCAAGTGTATATATGAATGCGTGGGAAAAACTGTCTAACTAGGATGGCTGGAGGGAGAAAGGAAGGGAGGGGAAAGAAAGGAAGGAAGAATAGAACTTTATTGTTTCAGGTCACCAAGTTTGAGCATGGCTGGTCATGCAGCAATAGATAATTATCTATATATACCACATACAAATGGTTTTGTTACTCTTCTGTTTTGGTTTATAATTTCACAGTATGACCTGAAATCCTTACTTTCACAAACTTTTTTTTTTTTTTTGAACAGTTGCATGATATTCCATTGTGTGGATATACCATATTATTTAAACAATCGCCTACTGATGAATAATTGACTTGTTTCCAATTACTAGCAGCTGAATTTTGAGGCTCTCCAGATCCCATGTTATTGACTGTTCTCCATTTGCCAGGCCTTAGGCAGAGATAAAGACAGGGTCCTTAGTAATGGGAAACAGTTAGATTCAAATGTGCACTAAGAAAACACAAAAGTAGAGATGTGATCATGTATGAAGGCCAGGGAGGTCATTACATTGCACTAAGTAGCACACCTGGAAGATTATGTGGGCTTTCCAGGCAGCACATAAGGAAAAACATATGAAGGAGATAGCTTGAATAATACCCTAAAGTTGGAATTAGAACCAAAGGAAAATTCAGGAGAAAAATTTCCCTGACCACAGTTTTTCTTTAACCACTACCAAGGATAGGTAGGTAAATGTTCTGAATGCAACCATTTCCAAAATTGACAATTATAATTTGCTAAAGACAGAGGAAAGAACATTAAGTTTATTGTTGCATTTATTGGTTTAAAGTTGGCTAAAATGATTAGGGGCATAGCACCTGTTTAAAGATGAAAATTTCCCATCCTTGCAGCTCTGCCTCAAACCTGACAACACATTCAACTTTCCAATAACATGTAAGCTTCATAGAGACACCTAGGAATAACTGTTTACAATTTATCATTCAACAAAAATGGAGTCAAGTAAAAAACCTGTAGAAAATATTTTACAAGGAAACTTGAAGACAGAGTTCACTAGCATAAAATGAATGCTTCACCATACACATTATATCAACAGGAATTGAAAAAAACATATTTTTTTCCATTCTAATGTTATAAATACATGGGAAAATTAATTTATCTAACACATTCCTATAGCTAAGGCATTAGCAACTTTTTTTTTTTTTTGGCAAAGGCAAGATACTAAATATTTTTGGCATTGTGGGCCATATGGTCTCTGTCTAACTATTCAACTCTGCTGTTGTAACACACTGTACACAATACACAAATGAATGAGCTTGGCTGTGTTCCAATAAAACTTTATTTTAAAAAAATAGGCAGTGGGCCACATTTTTATATTATTGAAAATTGAATATAAAGAGCCCTTAACTTACTGACCCTGAAGGCAAAGAGCATACAAAAAATTATTTTAAGATAGACTCCTGGGCCTCCCCTGGTGGTGCAGGCGGTTGAGCGCAGCACTCTGAAGCTCTCCACAGCCTCTGCAGCGCTGGTTCCATCCAGGCTGGCCCGCGAGGGTCCCACATGGCACGGCAGACCTCTCCTGTCGCACCCACTGCTCCCCTCAGCAGTGTATTTCAGTCAGTCTGCCTGTTCTGTTCCCCACTCTGTCTCTGGTGAATCCTCTCACCTTCCTGCGCATCTGGCCTGTACCCCAGTTCTTGTATAAAATTAATAAATAAATCTTTTTTTTAAAAAAAGAAATTGATCAAAAAAACCCCCAAAAACAGACAGACTAGTAACAACATGAAAAAGAGCTAAGTTGTGAGACTAGTTATCTGAAGTTTTTCCAAAAATCAAACCAACTGGGCCTCTCCTGGTGGCGCAGCGGTTGAGCACTGGGCTGCGAAGCTGCCCGCAGCCTCTGCAGCGCCGGTTCCATCCCTGGCCCCCCGCGAGGGTTCCACATGGCATGCAGACCTCTCCTGCCACGCCCACTGCTCCCCTCAGCAGTTTATTTCGTCAGTCTGCCTGTTCTGTTCCCCACTCTGGCTCTGGTGAATTCTCTTACCCTCCTGTGCTTTTGACTGTACCCAGTGCTTGTATAAATAAATAAATAAATAAATCTTAAAAAAAAAAAAAAATCCAACCAACCTATGAAAAGAACCTGAAAGATGACTAGTGTACCTGTGAAGGATGGCCTATTTTTTCCCTAGCCACCCAACTCTTTATCTTCTAACAGTGTCAGATGGCCCTAGATAGAGATACCTGGAATACGTGAATAAATATTGTAACTCGATGATAACAACTAAAATTCTGAAATTCCCCCAAACAGACAATCCCCCAAAGATAAGCACATGAAAATCACATGGGTGATAAGCACATGAAAAAGATGCTTAACATACTAGTCATCAAAAAAACACAAATCTTAACTCATCAACAAAAGGGACACAACTGATATATACATCCAACAACATGGATAAATGTCGAAAGTATTAAACAAAGTGAAAGATGCCAAACATTGGGCCTCCCTGGTGGTGCAAGGTGTTAAAATGCAACCTATGAAGCTCTCCGTGGCCTCTGCAGCAAGTCTGATCCCTGGCCAGGGAGCAACCCACAAGGTGCAGCAGACCTCTCCTGACTCACCTGCTGCTCCCCTCAGCGGTGTATTTCAATCTGCCTGTTCTGTTCCCCACTCTGTCTCTGGTGAATCCTCTCACCCCACACCTCTGGCCTGTACCCCAGCTCTTGTATGCATAAATAAATCTTAAAAAATAAAAAGAAAGATGCCAAACTCACAACCAAAGTACAAATTTTATCATCCTATTTATACAAAACTTCAGACAAAACTAGAGACAAAAAGCAGATCAGTGAATGCCTGGAACTGATGGGGAAAAACTAACTACAAAGGGGAATATTAGGGATCATGGTGGATATTTCATGTGGTGATGAAAATACTCTAGAGCTTGATTGTAATGTACTAGTGTAACTACATGTAATAGCTAAAATTTGAACTATATACATAATGTAAGTGAATTTTATCATATGTAAATTATATCACAATAAAGTCAAGAAAAAACAGCAAACTAAATCCGACTATGCATTTTTTTTTAAAAATCACAATCAAACTGAGTTTATTAAAAAAGCAAGGGTAGTATATTAGCTATAATATTAGAAAACACAAGATAATTCACCACATTAACATTAAAAGGAACACCCTAAAAATCTCCTCATTGTAGAAAAGCACTCAATAAAACCCAATTTCTACTCATGTATCTGAACAAAACTAGAAATAAAGATCAATCACTTAACTAGAAAAGGGACCTCTTTCAAAAACTCATGTATACTGTCATACCTATACATTAAAAGTACCACCTTTTACTTCAGAAAGAAGATAAAGATGTATAGTCACAATGTTCCTATTCAGCAATTACTCAAGAATCAAGTCATAGTAGCATAGTGAAGAAGAAAAAATGGCTATAAGAGAAATAAAACAGTGCATAGACCAGATGATTGTCTATACTGAAAGCCAAAAGACTATACCATCCAATTATTAGAATTAACATGTAGATTCAACAAGATTGTTAGAGAGAAGTCCGATATTTAAAAAATTAACTGCATTCCTACATACAGCAGGCAAACAAACTAATTTCAAAATATATGGCTATACATAAAAAATTATAAACCACAAAGGAATAAACCTACCATAAGCTACATGAGACCTTTACGAAGAACATAATTAAAAGGAGATCTAAATAAAAAAGATTGCTCATGCTTGTGGATAAGAAGACCCAGTATCATAATTATTTTCTTTTCATTTTAATGTATAAATTAAATTCAGTCCTTATTAGTACCAGGCAAGATTTTTGGTGCAACTTAATTAGCAAATACTAACATGTTAAATGTACAGCAACAAGAGAAAAAGACAACTAAATTGTGGCATATTCATAAACCAGTGAGTCAAAACTGCTAAAAATAAGTGAACTAGAGCTACAAATAAAAAGGATAGTAATATTGGGTAAAATATTGGGCAAAGATAATAGGTTTTAGGAAAATATGAATTTATATTTTATATAAGCAATTTACGTGAGACATTTATATATGTAGTAAAATGTAAAAACACCAAGTGACTATTATAATTGAAAAAAGGGTGGAATCAGGCAGTTACAAATTAGTTTTCTAAGTTCACATTTTGAAAAGATCTGAAGCAAAACATAAGACAAAACATTAAGATTTAACAAAGGATACATAACTATATAATTTGCTTTTGTCTTATTTTGTAAGCTTGAAATATTTCATATAAAAAGATCACTGGCTGCGGGCCTCCCCGGTGGCGCAGCGGTTGAGCGCTGGGTTGCGAAGCTGCGCGCGGCCTCTGCGGCGCCGGTTCGATCCCCGGCTGCTCCCCGGCCACCGGAGGAGGGTCCCACATGGCGCGCAGACCTCTCCTGCCGCCCGCTGCTCCCCTCAGCAGTGTACTTCGGTCCTTCTGCCTGCTCTGCTCCCCGCTCTGGCTCTGGTGAATTCTCTCACCCTCCCGCGCTTCTGACTGTACCCAGTGCATGTATAAACAAAACAAACAAAGAAACCAGCAAACAAATAAATAAAGCATGCCTCTATAAAAAAAAAAAAAAAAAAAAAAGATCACTGGCTGCAAGGGGAAAATGGTAATGCAGGAACAGACAGCTTATGAAGTTTTTATAGCCAAAGATGATTGTGGCCTGAGTGACAACAGGAATGAAGGAAAAGAGGTGTTAACAGTAATATGTAGAATTACAACAGGTGGGAATTTACTTATTAGATGTGGAGGATAAATCAGGGTAACAT